AAATGTAGGGTTTTGAAAGGGCTTTAATTTGGTACCAGTCCGAAGCCTGTATCTCTAACCGTTTAGGAGATATCGAAGGTTAAAGTTTTCCAACCTTTCTCCGTCGATATCCAGCCTCATCCGTCGATATCTCCGCTTCTACTGGGAGTAGAGGGTCGTCCATGTAGTCCAAAATGTAGGGTTTTGAACGGGCTTTAATTTGGTACCAGTCCGAAGCCTGTATCTCTAACCGTTTAGGAGATATCGAAGGTTAAAGTTTTCAACTTTTCCAACCCTTCTCCGTCGATATCTCCGCTTCTACTGGGAGTAGAGGTCGTCCATGTAGTCCAAAATGTAGGGTTTTGAAGGGCTTTAATTTGGTACCAGTCCGAAGCCTGTATCTCTAACCGTTTAGGAGATATCGAAGGTTAAAGTTTTCCAAACCTTTCTCCGTCGATATCCAGCCTTCATCCGTCGATATCTCCGCTTCTACTGGGAGTAGAGGGTCGTCCAGTAGTCCAAAATGTAGGGTTTTGAACGGGCTTTAATTTGGTACCAGTCCGAAGCCTGTATCTCTAACCGTTTAGGAGATATCGAAGGTTAAAGTTTTCCAACCTTTCTCCGTCGATATCTCCGCTTCTACTGGGAGTAGAGAGTCGTCCATGTAGTCCAAAATGTAGGGTTTTGAAAGGGCTTTAATTTGGTACCAGTCCGAAGCCTGTATCTCTAACCGTTTAGGAGATATCGAAGGTTAAAGTTTTCCAACCTTTCTCCGTCGATATCCAGCCTTCATCCGTCGATATCTCCGCTTCTACTGGGAGTAGAGGGTCGTCCAAGTAGTCCAAAATGTAGGGTTTTGAACGGGCTTTAATTTGGTACCTGTCCGAAGCCTGTATCTCTAACCGTTTAGGAGATATCGAAGGTTAAAGTTTTCCAACCTTTCTCCGTCGATGTCCAGCCTTCATCCGTCGATATCTCCGCTTCTACTGGGAGTAGAGGGTCGTCCATGTAGTCCAAAATGTAGGGTTTTGAACGGGCTTTAATTTGGTACCTGTCCGAAGCCTGTATCTCTAACCGTTTAGGAGATATCGAAGGTTAAAGTTTTCCAACCTTTCTCCGTCGATATCTCCGCTTCTACTGGGAGTAGAGAGTCGTCCATGTAGTCCAAAATGTAGGGTTTTGAACGGGCTTTAATTTGGTACCTGTCCGAAGCCTGTATCTCTAACCGTTTAGGAGATATCGAAGGTTAAAGTTTTCCAACCTTTCTCCGTCGATATCTCCGCTTCTACTGGGAGTAGAGAGTCGTCCATGTAGTCCAAAATGTAGGGTTTTGAAAGGGCTTTAATTTGGTACCTGTCCGAAGCCTGTATCTCTAACCGTTTAGGAGATATCGAAGGTTAAAGTTTTCCAACCTTTCTCCGTCGATATCTCCGCTTCTACTGGGAGTAGAGAGTCGTCCATGTAGTCCAAAATGTAGGGTTTTGAAAGGGCTTTAATTTGGTACCTGTCCGAAGCCTGTATCTCTAACCGTTTAGGAGATATCGAAGGTTAAAGTTTTCCAACCTTTCTCCGTCGATATCCAGCCTTCATCCGTCGATATCTCCGCTTCTACTGGGAGTAGAGGGTCGTCCATGTAGTCCAAAATGTAGGGTTTTGAACGGGCTTTAATTTGGTACCTGTCCGAAGCCTGTATCTCTAACCGTTTAGGAGATATCGAAGGTTAAAGTTTTCCAACCTTTCTCCGTCGATATCTCCGCTTCTACTGGGAGTAGAGAGTCGTCCATGTAGTCCAAAATGTAGGGTTTTGAAAGGGCTTTAATTTGGTACCAGTCCGAAGCCTGTATCTCTAACCGTTTAGGAGATATCGAAGGTTAAAGTTTTCCAAACCTTTCTCCGTCGATATCCAGCTTCATCCGTCATATCTCCGCTTCTACTGGAGTAGAGGTCGTCCATGTAGTCCAAAATGTAGGGTTTTGAACGGGCTTTAATTTGGTACCAGTCCGAAGCCTGTATCTCTAACCGTTTAGGAGATATCGAAGGTTAAAGTTTTCCAACCTTTCTCCGTCGATATCTCCGCTTCTACTGGGAGTAGAGAGTCGTCCATGTAGTCCAAAATGTAGGGTTTTGAAAGGGCTTTAATTTGGTACCTGTCCGAAGCCTGTATCTCTAACCGTTTAGGAGATATCGAAGGTTAAAGTTTTCCAACCTTTCTCCGTCGATATCCCTTCATCCGTCGATATCTCCGCTTCTACTGGGAGTAGAGAGTCGTCCATGTAGTCCAAAATGTAGGGTTTTGAACGGGCTTTAATTTGGTACCTGTCCGAAGCCTGTATCTCTAACCGTTTAGGAGATATCGAAGGTTAAAGTTTTCCAACCTTTCTCCGTCGATAATGTATATCTCCGCTTCTACTGGGAGTAGAGGTCGTCCATGTAGTCCAAAATGTAGGGTTTTGAAAGGGCTTTAATTTGGTACCTGTCCGAAGCCTGTATCTCTAACCGTTTAGGAGATATCGAAGGTTAAAGTTTTCCAACCTTTCTCCGTCGATATCCAGCTTCTCCGTCATATCTCCGCTTCTACTGGGAGTAGAGAGTCGTCCATGTAGTCCAAAATGTAGGGTTTTGAAAGGGCTTTAATTTGGTACCTGTCCGAAGCCTGTATCTCTAACCGTTTAGGAGATATCGAAGGTTAAAGTTTTCCAACCTTTCTCCGTCGATATCCAGCCTTCATCCGTCGATATCTCCGCTTCTACTGGAGTAGAGGGTCGTCCATGTAGTCCAAAATGTAGGGTTTTGAAAGGGCTTTAATTTGGTACCTGTCCGAAGCCTGTATCTCTAACCGTTTAGGAGATATCGAAGGTTAAAGTTTTCCAACCTCTTCTACCAGCTTCTCCGTCGATATCTCCGCTTCTACTGGGAGTAGAGAGTCGTCCATGTAGTCCAAAATGTAGGGTTTTGAAAGGGCTTTAATTTGGTACCTGTCCGAAGCCTGTATCTCTAACCGTTTAGGAGATATCGAAGGTTAAAGTTTTCCAACCTTTCTCCGTCGATATCCAGTCTTCATCCGTCGATATCTCCGCTTCTACTGGGAGTAGAGAGTCGTCCATGTAGTCCAAAATGTAGGGTTTTGAAAGGGCTTTAATTTGGTACCTGTCCGAAGCCTGTATCTCTAACCGTTTAGGAGATATCGAAGGTTAAAGTTTTCCAACCTTTCTCCGTCGATATCTCCCGTCGATATCTCCGCTTCTACTGGGAGTAGAGAGTCGTCCATGTAGTACAAAATGTAGGGTTTTGAAAGGGCTTTAATTTGGTACCTGTCCGAAGCCTGTATCTCTAACCGTTTAGGAGATATCGAAGGTTAAAGTTTTCCAACCTTTCTCCGTCGATATCCATCCTTCATCCGTCGATATCTCCGCTTCTACTGGGAGTAGAGGGTCGTCCATGTAGTCCAAAATGTAGGGTTTTGAAAGGGCTTTAATTTGGTACCTGTCCGAAGCCTGTATCTCTAACCGTTTAGGAGATATCGAAGGTTAAAGTTTTCCAACCTTTCTCCGTCGATATCCAGCTTCCATCCGTCGATATCTCCGCTTCTACTGGGAGTAGGGAGTCGTCCATGTAGTCCAAAATGTAGGGTTTTGAAAGGGCTTTAATTTGGTACCTGTCCGAAGCCTGTATCTCTAACCGTTTAGGAGATCGAAGGTTAAAGTTTTCCAACCTTTCTCCGTCGATATCCAGCCTTCATCCGTCGATATCTCCGCTTCTACTGGGAGTAGAGGGTCGTCCATGTAGTCCAAAATGTAGGGTTTTGAAAGGGCTTTAATTTGGGACCTGTCCGAAGCCTGTATCTCTAACCGTTTAGGAGATATCGAAGGTTAAAGTTTTCCAACCTTTCTCCGTCGATAACCAGCCTTCATCCGTCGATATCTCCGCTTCTACTGGGAGTAGAGAGTCGTCCATGTAGTCCAAAATGTAGGGTTTTGAAAGGGCTTTAATTTGGTACCTGTCCGAAGCCTGTATCTCTAACCGTTTAGGAGATATCGAAGGTTAAAGTTTTCCAACCTTTCTCCGTCGATATCTCCGCTTCTACTGGGAGTAGAGGGTCGTCCATGTAGTCCAAAATGTAGGGTTTTGAAAGGGCTTTAATTTGGTACCTGTCCGAAGGCTGTATCTCTAACCGTTTAGGAGATATCGAAGGTTAAAGTTTTCCAACCTTTCTCCGTCGATATCCAGCCTTCATCCGTCGATATCTCCGCTTCTACTGGGAATAGAGAGTCGTCCATGTAGTCCAAAATGTAGGGTTTTGAAAGGGCTTTAATTTGGTACCAGTCCGAAGCCTGTATCTCTAACCGTTTAGGAGATATCGAAGGTTAAAATTTTCCAACCTTTCTCCGTCGATATCCAGCCTTCATCCGTCGATATCTCCGCTTCTACTGGGAGTAGAGAGTCGTCCATGTAGTCCAAAATGTAGGGTTTTGAAAGGGCTTTAATTTGGTACCAGTCCGAAGCCTGTATCTCTAACCGTTTAGGAGATATCGAAGGTTAAAGTTTTCCAACCTTTCTCCGTTGATATCTCCGCTTCTACTGGGAGTAGAGAGTCGCCATTTACGACAAAATGTAGGGTTTTGAGAGGACTTTAATTTGGTGCCAGAGCCAGGCCTGTACCTCTAACCGTTTAGGAGATATCGAAGGTTAAAATTTTCCAGCCTTTCTCCATCGATATCCAGCCTTCCTCCGTCGATATCTCCGCTTCTACTGTGAGTAGAGAGTCGTCCATGTAGTCGAAAATGTAGGATTTTGAGAGGACTTTAATTTAGTGCCAGAACCAGGCCTGTATCTCTAACCGTTTAGGAGATATCGAAGATTAAAGTTTTCCAACCTTTCTCCGTTGATATCTCCGCTTCTACTGGGAGTAGAGAGTCGCCATTTACGGCAAAATGTAGGGTTTTGAGAGGACTTTAATTTGGTGCCAGAACCAGGCCTGTATCTCTAACCGCTTAGGAGATATCGAAGGTTAAAGTTTTCCAACCTTTCTCCGTTGATATCTCCGCTTCGTGCCGGTTGAAGGAAATTCAATAGCAATGTTGTGTCGCCGTTTCCTGGCAACGAGCACTTGTGGCGACTCTCCGAGCAAGATGACAAATTCGTCGGAGAGTTGTGTGGGTGTTTCATTCGGCGAGAGGTGACTCCGGGTTTTTAGCGCGGAGTCTGGACGCGGAGAGCGCACGGCGCGAAAACCCGAACTGGTCGCTGGTCATTATGAGAAAGTATCGCCAAAGTGAGTGATCCACGAATGCGAATCTGTGTGCGGCGATGCTATTGATTGTATGGTCGATGCGACTGTCAATCCGGACATGGCAGGCAGGGCTTTCCGCGTCAAGATACAAGTGGACGTACACGCGGTAGGTATATCGTCAATTTTGGTCTCTCTCTCTCTCTCTCTCTCTCTCTCTCTCTCTCTCTCTCTCTCTCTCTCTCTCTCTCTCTCTCTCTCTCTCTCTCTCTCTCGCTCTCTCTCTCGCTCTCTTTCTCTCTCTCTTTCTCTCTCTCTCTCTCTCTCTCTCTCTCTCTCTCTCTCTCTCTCTCTCTCTCTCTCTCTCTCTCTCAAAATTCCTGAGGGTGAGTTTTCGTTCGTGAGAGTACGGTGACAGCCGGGTCGCTCCAAGTCGAGTGATTCCTCGCTCGTAAACGCAGAGTAAATCGTCGAGCGAATTTTAACACTCGAGATTCAAGAGTGAATCGATTGACAATTGCGTCAATATTATTGTGTCAAACAGTCATCATTATCGTAAACCATCGGAGGAAGAATTTTACTCTAATGAATTACTGAAACATTTTCTCACGCTAGAGTAAAATCCACCCCTACGACTTCGAGCAGCGTAATTTTTACCATTAAGTGAAGCGTATCTTCGTTCCGAGTGAATTCTCACTCGTCTTGTATGAGATTGCACCCTCGAGGAATGTCGAGACAAGAGTCTCGTGCGGAAGTCCTGAAGTCATTATGTGAGAAATCGTGTTTCTCAGGTAACGTGTCCTGGCGTCTGGCTGTGTCCCAACGGCAAGGTGGCACTGCGGATGGACACGCTCAACTCACGCGCGGAATCCCGCCGAATAAGTCCAATCTTCCCGTTGCTGTTCCATGACAGATTCGCCTTCAGCAAGGTGTTCGCGCGGATAGTCTCGTTGGCGGAGCTGCAACGCGCCTTGGAGCAAGAGTTTCTGTATGCGGAATTGATACAGTGGGTCACCACCACGACCAGCCGTGGCATCATTCTGGCCACGTTTGAGACGAACTTGGCGGACTTGCTGTATCCAGCGCCGTGTTTCAAGGGTTTATTGGCCGGTGTAGATGTAGACCTGCTGATGGAGCCGACCAAGTGCTTTCCGGTACGTCCCCTTTTGTCGATGGGAGATTCTGATCAGGAGACGAGATCCTTCATTCGTTGTTCCTTTTTTACGTTGTCAGGGGATCATAGCACCTAAAATCGAGGTGTCTACGAAAACGGTGGTCGAGGAAGTGCTGGGCCCCTGTGACACAAGTATGAGCAAATGTTATGTCGTCAATCCAAAAATGATTAACTCTAAGGTACTTCACAGACGGCGGGTCGAGATCTGCGAGTTAAATGCGCGCCGTTTGATTCGTTCTCTTTCTGCGCATTTCGTTCGTGAATCGCGAAGATTCACGTCGGTTTTGCATGCGTGATGTGTGTTTCAGCAAACGGCGACGTGTGGCCAGACAAAGAGGTCGGTTAAAGGTATTATAAGGCAACGACGGGTATGCCATACCAAGAGTAAACCGAGATCTCAGAGCTGTCGGCCGTAAGTTTTCGCATCGAACGTCATTTCATTAGGATTATTACTGTAAAATAATATAAAATTATGTACATTTAATTATACATGTGTGTATAAAATTAAACACACATATTCTTATCCTTAGTATATCACATCCTCTCGTAGGTATCGCCAGAGGTCGAGTAGCGTGGATGATCCTTATCAATGTCAGTGTGACGCGAGTAATCGGACAGGATCGCAACAGGATCACCGATGCTATCACTCAATGAGGAAGGATTCCGTACGCACGTCTCAATTATGTTCGCAGAAGCCAGCCACGTATGATAATAGCCATGTCACGGACGACTGCCCAGTTTGTTTGAAGTACACTTGCTATTTTTCTAAATGCTACGACGACTCGGCGGCAGTCAAAGGTCCCCACGTCGAGCCGAAGCGCAACTACAGCGATGTCGCGCATCATCACAAAAGTCGCTCCGATAACAGAGCGTACTGTTGTGTTTGTGGGCCGAGTAGCGCGTCCGACGCGCAAGAGGAAGCAGCGACTTCGCTGTGAGTTCATCGGACGCCGCAATGAATCCTCAATGAATATTTTCTATCATTGTGTCATTGTGTTGCAGGTTGCACAAGATAAAAGATCTTGAGAAAAGCAGAGAGAAAGTTTCTTGCGCCGTCGAGTCGGACGAGTAAGTGGGTCTCCGGGCGAAATCCTCGCGACGTGAGCACAGAAACTCGACACTCTAACTCCAGAAATGTGGTTTCAGCGTTGTGGATTGCGATTCTTGCCACGAATTCGCTGCTCGAGACTGCTCCACTCAGGGCTTCTACAAAAATCTCGAGAAATTCTACAAAAGGATGTACAAGCAAGCGAAGATTCGCGCGCAGGAAGTCGAGGGCTGATGGTGATAACCGTGTTCTTATGGCTTTGGAATTTTTTATCGACTTTTGCGTATCGTTCTGCATCACTTGGAAACGAACGTTGCAGAACACACACGGTGCTCGAAGAATCCTACGAGGCAAGATCAGTGTGTGTCGGTTAGTGACTCGTCAGAGTATCGAGCAATTAATAAATTGCGTATATATACCCGTCAAATGTTGATAGAAATTGTTCGATTGTCATCACTTTCTCCCAAGATATCGCAAAGAGAGTCTCGGTGATGTGCATCAAGTATTGTCTATCTCACGAAATAAATGTGGATAAATCGATTGCGTGTACGCAAACAAACGCAGAGAAACATTGTAAGGTATAAGAAAGTATATACTTTGCATATATACATACGAACGACTGTGTGTATGTGTGTGTGTGTGTATATATGTAGAAATTATTTCTACATATATGTAGAAATTATTTCTTTTTCTTCCTTTTTATTTTTTATACGCTGCTCGTCCAGTCTTGTACGTAGGCACGTTAGAAATTCGATCGCCACGCAGGGCGACGGATTTTCTCAGGAGCGCCGGCGTCCTCAGATGCAAGCCGCGTCCTTGTGGGCTCCAGGCCCTCAGTGAAACATGATCGCCATGCTCGCCGCTGATCGCCATCCACCCTACATGACATAATTATTTCGATATAAAATCGAAAGTCCGAATCAGAGGACGCAAGTTCTTTATGCATTCTGATACAAGATTATTATTATTATTATCATTATTATTATTATTATTATTATTATTATTATTATCAGATAATAGTATTTATATTATTTCATTCTTATTGCCACTAGAGAGATAAGCTTTATTAAGCCAGATTATTTTTCATCATATTACTATTATTATTATTATATTATATTATTATTATATTATTATTATTACCTGCGCTGGATATAACGACGTCGGCGACTGACATGTTTTTTCCGATGCCAATGACCTCCATCTCCTTGGACCCTAACGCCGGCCAGTATTTCAGTCGGTCCGGATTGTTCTCGGGCACGACGAAGGCCTCCGTGTTCAGCAACTCGTTGTATATCTCATCTGCGTCCGCGCTCAAAGTTATAGTTATCGGCAACTCGTTGCTCGCGAATATCGTACATCTGTAATTTATACGACAGTTGAGACAGTTGTACTGAATAATCGCTTTCAACACTAATATATCCTCGCATTAGAGAGATACGTTATCATCGCCTACGACAGAAATTCTACGCATGCGGTTGTCACCTGATAAAATAGTTGCCCTTCAAGTAATCCAATCTGCCAATCCCGGCTAGAAATATCGACTGATCTGGGTACAAGATGAACGTCCGCGGTGCGATAATTTTCTTCGGTAAAACCGACAACAGCTCCACGGTCGTCAGCAGATCCAACACCTGATCGGGCTGAATAGTGCCAGGAGTGTCATAACACCATCGGCTGTACTTGTACTCGTCCTTGGTCTCGTCAAAGCCAAGTTTCTGCATGTTCTTCGAGTATTTCTCTATGGCGAATGGGTCGTTGCTTTGCTGGAGTTTGGATTTCGATATGAACGTCTTGCCGATGCGACCTGAAGTCAAAAAGTATAACATTTACTCGAATGTAACATTTACTTACCGAAAAAATTGATCGATCGATCATACGCGACCCTGCTTTGCGAGGATCTCGCGCGGACGTACGTACTTTGCAACGTGACGTATTTCAATTTAGACGTTCGCTTAAACTGCTCGACCCTCGTCTGCTCTTCGGTCTGCAACTCCTTCTGCTCCTGCTGCAAACGCATCCTTCTCAAGTACAGCCGCCACCTCTGCGGATTCAGGATGGGAAACTTCAGCAAATTCAAGGTCGTACCCGGCCAGGGGGATATAGTAGCCCGTTGTATAAGATCCGCAGCTTGCACCTTGCAATAATCCGACTGCAGTAGGACGTTGAACAGCGAGGACTTGCCTACGTTGGTGCAGCCAATCACATAGACATCTCCTAAAGGTTGATGAATTAGTTGTATCAATAAAAAAAATACACACATATATTTGCGCATTATTCTGCAGATGATATCAAGATGATATCAAAGATGATATCATGGAAAGACGCATTTGTACCTTTGTACTTCCACAGAGCGTGCAGTTTGTTGATGAGCTGCTCTATGCCATAGCCGGTTTTTGCGGATACGAGTCCCACGTATTTGATAAAATTCTTATTGATTCCCGTGTTCTCCACAGTCTTCAACAGACAATCTTTTACGTGAGTGAAGAACTCCGGCGAGTCCTGAGGCAATAGGTCGATCTTGTTACCCACGACGAACACCATCGTATAAGGATGCAGCACGCTTTTTATCTCCGGCCATATGCTGCACGGGAAGTCCGTGAGGTCAACCATCAGGATCACAGCGCACTTCTTCGTCTTGATGACCTTGAGCAACTCTGCAAACTCGTCCGGCGACACCTTCACTTCCAGCATGGCATTGTAATATTTCATAAAGTGACACCGTTGACAAATCATGAGTCGTAGTTTACGTTCGCTTCTCTTCAGGAAGAGCTCGGACGGCAGGTAGCCTGGTATGGCGTGATCCTTGCAGTGTAACAAGGCACCGCAACCGCCGCATGGCACAGAGCTAACTGTAGAGTCTGGATCTGGAGTACCGTAGTTGCCAAGCCATTTTTCGTCTTGTAACGAGTCGTCAAATTCCTCAAAGTCGAGCATCCAATTGAGCGGGACGTTTGAGAGATTTGTCTTGTAAGACATGTTAATCTGTTCTTTGGTTATATAATCATCTAATGTGAAATTATCCCTAGTGTTCTCCTCGATGGCATTCTTTGCTGTCAGATACTTCTCATAAAGATTCTTGTACTTTTCATTCAATGGTAACGTGCTCTCATCAAAGTCGATCTCAACAGAATTATTCGTTCTTGTATTTATACTACTGTACTTATCTGTACTGGCGTATGGCATATGTATGGGCCTAGTTATGTTTCTTCTCAAGTTCTTGTCGTCTTCTTGTTGATTCTCTCGCGAATTTTCATCTGTCTCATCAACTTTATCCAAGAATATGCTGTAGACGGGATCATGAATGAATTTCTCAAGTTGTTTTTCCTTTTCAACCATTTTACGATATCTTTTCTCGAGGTGACGTTTCATAATACCCGGTTTTACTTTGTCATGATCAAGGTAGTCACAATATATCAATTTCTCACGTAGTGCCTGGACTCTAGGATCAAAGTTGTCCTCCTTGGCATTAAATGTTGTAGAATAACCAAATGCCTGAACTAGATGTCTATAATTATCTCGATAGGCTTTTAAGTGACAGTATGTGTTATCCAGATAATTCTTCCAGGTTGAATGTTTCCCGAGGATGATTAATCTTATATTACTTATAGCTAGCATCCTGATAGTATATCCGTCTCAATTTGATATATATTGCTTATTCTGCATACAAAATAGAACTTTGTTGTGGGTTGAAAATAAAATAATCTCCGTAGAAGCCCAGTAGAAGCAAGATCAATCTACACTTAAAAAAAGCATATATAGTCAAAAAAACATACATTTTGACAGTATTCAATAACAAAGTAAATACTATTAACTAGAATTAAAAAAAAATAAAGTATTCAATTATGTTATATATGCATAATAAATTATGTTAAAATAAAGGAAAAAACTAGAAATCGACATATGAAGTTTAGCAAAAACTATATCTAATAAAGCTGTAAAGAATTGCCGGTTAATTGAAAGGTTAGAATTTTCAAAATTTTATAACTTAATTTTCTTCATAATCTCCCTCATATGGCAAACTTAAGAAAGTAAAATCTTGATGAAATTTGTAAAGTGTAATTATTTAGGATTTACAGGAAGACTGTGAAAACTAACTTTTACTAAATGTATACGGTCGGTTACCGCGTAGGTTATGTAGCGCACATTTCACAATTGAGTTTCCTTGAAATTTAATCCACTCAGATTTTTATATTTTCAGTAACATAATTCATCGTCAAGTGAGGAACACATTCGTCCTTTGTTAATAAATTGAAAGCAAACGTATATCCGAGTTGCTGAGCATTTTGTCACTGAATAAAAGATTGAGCCACTCAAACGTTGACTCGTACTACTTGAGGAATTGTTAGGTCCGTTCTTTTATCTTCCTTCTTTCTTTCTGTAGCTGGCTCTGGGGGAAGTGGATATTCCCATACACTATTCCTAAAGCTAAGACTCCATGCATGCGGTGAGCTGCGGCAAATGCTGCGGTGACCAATCAGGAGGGAGGCGCAAGTCCGGTTGCGGCAAGCTCCGGCATGCGTCTGTCTCCTGATTGGTCACCGCAGCCGTTTGCCGGAGCTCACCGCATGCATGGAGTCTTAGCTTTATAGTCCGTTCTTTTAGCTGAAACACCGCGAATAACGACGTATATGTGTTGGGTCTATAAGTCGAGTGAGAACAAATATAATTATCTCACTCTAACTTATTATTATTACTCCAATTCAGTGCATTTAAAAAGACCAGTTTATGTTAAACTTCCTACAGACATTCTACAAATGGCGGATGCTCTTTTGGCGCGTTCATGTCATCTTTATTTTATTCCATTTAATTTTTCGTGGTTACAATTCCATGACGTCGGTTGAAGGTCAGTTTACGAAATGTGCGTTAAATATCATTTGCATAATGATTTGTACTGTTAATTAATTAACTGATAATTAACAATTTCAATTACAGGCACATCAACATTATAACTAAAACTCTTAGCAATGTCGTCCCAGAGGAGCAAGTCAGCAGAAAGCGACGTCGGAATAAAAATTCACGATACATTAATGGCTATCAACGATATTACTCTGAAGATGTAAGTCTTTTTTTTCTTATATCATTTTTTTCATATATAATTTTACATTCATTTTCTAAAGCTCTAATTTTTATTGAATTCCTTCTTTGATTCCTGTACTTCCTTTTCACTAGCAATGAATAATCAGTAAGAATGATATTAGAATTCAAACGATATTTGATATTTTCAGAAAGAAGGAGCTGGAATTGATCGAGGAACTTGTGAAAGAAAATGGGCACTTGTATACTGCAATTACTACAGCTAATGAAACATTATCTTGGAAGGTTCAAAAAATGGGATTAAATGTGGAACATATTATGAATGAGGTCAAAAGCAAAGACAGATTGGAACCGAATATTTTAGGTACGATTACTTCGTCTGAAATTACAGAGCGGTTGTTGAGTCAAATGGATATCTTAGATATAGAATGATTTTTGCTTAATTAATATATTTTTTCTGAACTTCTACATAAAAGTTATAAAATTCTTCAGACCAATATATACATTGTACAAAAGAATGATCTTTCTAAATTTCCCTGATATTATTTTACGTATATATTTAATTTTTGATTAGCAGTTTGCAAAATATTAAATTATCAAAATAGTAAATAATATTATGGCTATAGCATAAGTAATATTCTAACTTTACAATTTACCATAGACAATCCTCCATATGCTTATAGTTTTGATTCTGTCAACCAGTTGAATTTTTGTTCCTTACGATCTGCTTGTGGGTTAATCATAATATTGATCAAACTGGGACTATCAGTTACCTGAAATAACATCTTTTCTTATTATCTATCCTTTTTAATATCCTTTTTAATCCATTTAAAAACAGATTTGATCTTAATAAAATATTACCTGGAAAGATAGTTTCAATGCCTGTTGTATATCCTGCACTGTGGTACAAAAGTGTCCTTTCCTTCCAAACATCTCCATCATCTTTTCATAATGAGTTTCGGACGTTAAGGAAAATGGAGGAGTTCTGAAATGATTATTACCGTCGTTTACATTCACATGTATCTACATACATGTGAGACAATATCAAATTGAAGCAAATGTGGGCACGTTGATGTACGAGAAAAAGAGATATATGGTTGGGAAATATCTAACAATGCAGTAAAAATGCAGTAAGAGATGCGTACACTTGCGTAGGATCTCCAGATGATTGCACTTGTCTGAAGGTCTCCTTATCAAGACCACCGTATATACCATTATTATTCACAATTATAATAATCACCGGCAATTTGTACCTGTATGGAGAAAGGAAGGTCGACGAGATTATAATAACGAGATATGTGACATTCCGCGAAATGCAAAACACGTGTTTCCTCGATTATTTCAGCTAAGGCTACGTTACCGAAACATCGTCTCAATCTCCATTCCGGAAAATCCGAAAGCGCTGTCTCCTTCCACGCAAATCACCCTTTTCCTCGGTGCTCTCTCTTTGCAATAAAGAGCGGCTGCGATCGCGAATCCGAGCCCTACGCCCATAGTGCCGAATGTGCCGGCGTCCAATCTATGACGAGGCAAATCGTTCAAGAGGATAGTTCTACCAATATCCATTGTATTAGCTCCCTCGGAGCAAATGATACAATCTACAAAATCAGATTAAAGATATAGAGAAGAGAAATAATAGGAAAGAAAGACATGGGTGAGAAAGAGAGAGAGAGGGAGAGGGAGAGGGAGAGAGAGAGGGAGAGAGAGAGAGAGAGAGAGAGAGAGAGTATATAATTACAAAAATCTCTATTAATAACTCATTCATGCGAGCAGTTCTCTAATCCAAGTGGTATTAATTCATATATGATTGTATGTTTTATAATTTAATATCTACATTTTAAAAAATATCTCGCGTTCATTGTGGGATTTGCAACGATACAAAGTATACTCACCTTTCGGTATGACATCTTGAATATGTGTAAAGACCGTGTAATAATTCAGGGGCACGTTGGTGTCCAACGACATGCGCTACAGGAGGAGAACGAGGAGAAAATGCGCAAAATTAATCACACAGAGGCGAAACGATCTTTATTCAGCGCGTGGTCGTAAAACAATACTCACGTGAAGCAATTGCTTATTCTTCTTGACTTTCTCCACGAGCTCGCTCCACCATGTGCCACGTCGGTCGACTCGCCACTTTCGACTTTTCAACGCGCACGCCAAAAGATTCGTTGCTGGCGCAATGTCGGACTGTATGGCAACGGCGGACGGTACGGAATTGTGCAGTTCTTCGGCGCACAAGTCAATCTGTGTGTATTGTTTTTACGTTAACACAGAAATTAACTTTAACACACATACACACATATATAGTTGGCTGCTACATGTACAGAGATGTACAATATGAATATATTTTAGCCGGATAAGCTATAATATAATACTTTCTTCCAGAACTTCCAGAACAAACTTTCTTCGTGCATCAATCTACCTGTATGACTTTGATGGTTTCCTGAAACCTGGGTGGTCGGCCAAAATGGAGCATCCAGTTCAGTCTCGCGCCCAATAACAGCACTACATCGGATTGCTGCAAAGCGAACGTCCGCGCGCTGGAGACGCAATGCTCGTTCGTGTCTGGTACGACTCCTTTACCCATGGGGGTCGGCAGGAAAGGCGCAGCCGTCAAAGAAATCAGCTCTCGCACCGCGTCCTCAGCTCTACCGTAAGCGGCTCCTGCTCATGTATGAAAACACAACAGAGAGAACATTGTCGAGGAAAAGAAGAAAAACCGGAAAGATTCGAGAGTGGTCGAGAGGAATTTTGTGAGCTCACCCTTGCCAACTATCACTAATGGTCTCTTCGATGCCATCAGTATATCCACCGCCCGTTCGATCAATCTCACGTCGGGATACGACAACGGCGACGGTGGACAAGGCACGACCTTCGTTATTTTGTTCTCCTCGACATTCTGCGTCAACAATGTGGCAGGTAAGTCGAGATACGCGGCGCCTATGAATGACACAAGACATAATCAAGCAACAAAGATTGGTGATTTTCTAAACCTGCATGAAATAGGCGTCACTTTCTAATCTTCTTAAAGAAGTGATAAAAGCAAAATTTATGGAAAGAATAAAACAAAAAAAAATATATACATATAAAGAAGGAAAAATTGTCGTAAGAGATAATTGTTTCAGGAAAAGAAGATGGGAAAAGGAAAAGATATAGAGCGATATATCCTCCCCCCCTCCAAAAAGAAGGAACAATTTCTCTACCTGGTCTACCGTAAGTGGCCAGTCGCACAGCTTTCTCGACGTGCATCGGTATGAGGGTGGCCGAGGGTGGCCTAGCGGCGTATTTGCAGTAAGGTCGGCATGCTTCGACCTGCGGCCACTCCTGAAATCCGCCGATCCCTTCGTGATCCTGAGGACAAGATCCGCCCAGGACGAGTACCGGCCTGTCGAAATATTTTCTTCGTCAGAACGTAAATTTCGGGAATTTATTGTAATTCATACGGTAATCGAGACACCCATACACATGTACACGACTGATAAAAAAAGTAATGTGTCGCGTATCGTTTCTCTGTCGAGAAAAGAGTCAGCAGAACACGATAATGTAATCACGCGACTTTGCGTCGCCGATATCAACGCGAAAAGATTGCAATCGGAAAACGGAACAGAGACAATCTCCTCCGCGTCGTCTTCCGGACATGCGACGACACCGGAACGGAATCTGCGTTAATATATAAAAAAGGCATCAAGATCCGTTTGTATCTCGTGATCTCGCAATCCGGCGGAATTTCCCGTAAATCTCCCGCAGCTACCTTATGTATTATGTATCTTCGCGCGTTACGTACTGTTACAACCTACTTTTAATCGGGCCTCACATTATGACCGTTTTATCGCAGAACCGAATAATCGTTGATGACGATCGTCCTCGGTCGATACTTTCTAGAAGCGAATCGCGCGCTAAAATTCTCGTTATATCGGTCGGTGGGCCACTCACCAGCAGTTCACCTGCGCGTTCGCCATACCGCCGATGACGTGCAGTACGCCCGGGCCGGACACGCACAACACCACCGCAGGTTTTTCTAATGGAAAAAGAAAATTCCACATTTCATCTCTCCCTTCGTATTTCTACTACCTTCGTCCTCCATATTTTACGTCAAGTATTTACTTTTCAAGCCAGCAAACACTAAGCGACAGTAATATTATTTTCTGTCTCTTTGCTACTATCTTAGTATTATCTTCACACCTTTCACTATTAGTATACTTCCCACCTTCTCTTGACTCAATTTTGCGTTGTAATCACATAATTTCGAAGAACTAATCGGGGATTTGAGTTTTCCAGATAATTGAATAGTTGTTCAACATACTCCAATAGGTTTTTATACCCAATAATTCGTTTGTGATTATTTATAACAAATCAAAGTTGAAAAAAAATGCTTTTTTTAAGGAAAGATCGATTCCTCGGAGAATATTGAATGTATAGAGGTTTGAAATTTTCACCAAATATTTTTCTGATGTTGTACAAAAACATAAATATTTTTCAGTATTTTTTTGCAGGTTATATATATATTTTTTTATAACAAATATTTCTACAAAAACGGCCGAAATTTGATTTTTTTGCACTTTTTAGCTCTATTTTCCTGGTTTTTTCATTCTGTATCTCCATCTTATCTCCATACTGTCAATATTATTTTACTCAAAAATTAATGTTCAATCTCTAGTAAGCATAAATATGCAGTATTGAACATTTTCCCACATAAATTTTTTCCAGCTCGATCGAGTTCCATCGTCTAGAATCACATGTTCTTATTACGACCTGGTCATTATTTAATAATAATTGGAATTTTCATTAATTTTGTACATCATGATCGCCATATTGAGTCCGCCATTTTTTATTTTGCAAATCTGACTTTAGATTCGTAATCAGCGACCCAAATAACGTAGGACTACCAAATATTTTAATAATTTTCTCAAGGGAAGTTGTTAATTCAGCAGTAAAAGGGTCAATACCAAGGTATACTATCATCTTCTATTTATATATAATTATATTCATTACATGTAGGGCATATAAAGTATAATATGATATTTATTATTATATTTATTACATATAACTATATTTATAAAATAATACTTTAGCGAGTTATATCGAATAAAAATGACATTCAAGTGCCATTGAGACGTTTGGAAGAGATGCTTTTTGGATGACGGAAACGCTCGCCCAGGGATTACAAGAAACAAGCACTTTGTGGAAAGCTTTTATGTAAACAAACAGTAGCAGCGGCTCCGATATGTCGAGAAATTCGCACTTACGCGTCAGGTATCCGTAGGCTTGCGCGGCGTAACACGCGGCTTGCTCGTTCCGGAAGCCCAGGTACTCCAGGCCGACGGCTTGCATGCACATGGCCAGTTCGATCACAGGGTGACCCATGATGCCGAAGACGTAAGTCAGACCCTGCGAAGCGTTGTTGGTGACGTGAGAAAGAAAGAAACAGAATCCAAGATAATAAGGACCTCTATTGTCGCGCAGGATCCTCGCGCGCGTCGCGAGAACTCGGTTAGCAAGCGAGGATTGTAATTCGTTTGCAAGCCGGAGGACTACTTTTTTCCCAAAGAACTTGCCGAATTGCACACAGATGCAGTGAGTTGGAGTAAGACAAACAAGTGCATTTTGTTTCATTCTAACGTATCGTTGAGAAGACGTTCTTCGTAAAAGAGGAACATCGATTTCCGTTTAACCAGCTTTGTGTCTCTTTCTCTCTCTCTCTCTCTCTCTCTCTCTCGCGTCTCGCTGCCGTCGTCGAAGCGACGAGCGATCGCTGATCGACAGTGTCTTCGTGTTTATCAGCGTGGTCGACGGCGCACGTTCGTTGCACTCGAACAAAAACGAAAACCGCCGGCGTTGCTTTCGCACGGCCAACGAGGGTCAGTGAGATCGACTGGTGTGTCCGACATGTATCGAGAAAACGACGAACGTGCACCGCTAATTGCACCGTCAAGGAAACGTGAGTACACGACCGATACGCCCGATAAGGGCTATTTTTGATTGTGTGTAACGTCGATTACAGCCGCGCCGTGCATGAATGTGAAGTCGCAAGATCGATTCGATGGGCATTATCAAACGGCGCCGTTTGCTCGATTAGACGGCTGCAAGGAACGTCGAAAGAAACACGCGCTTTTTGTTTTATATTTCATCGAGTCGCCGATTGAGAGGTTCGCGTCTCGTTTCTTTCTTATTCCATTCTAGCTTGTGACGAAATCGTCAATTTGGCGGTGATTCAAAGTGAGGCGATAAGTGAGGGAAGATAAGGACGGGAAACAAGAGGGAGAGAATATGCTGAATCGTTGTGTTATTCATAAGAAATTATTGAAATATATATGTATATGGGGTGATTTGGTTCTCAAATTCACTTGACGACGAACAAAAGCCGAGAGTGTACGTGCAGGAAACATCGACTGTTATTATTCCGTTAAATATATGTTTAGTCACTCGTTTGTAAAAAAATATCAAGTTAACGTTCGGAACGCAATGGGGGGAAAAACGAAGAGCAGCGTCCGATGGAAATGGAGTGAGGAAAATTTTAGAGACGTTAGATGAGCGTGTATGGAATAAAACTCCAGTATAGATAAAGGTCCGAAAGATAGAACCGTGACCTCTAGATAAACTCGTTTGATTTAATTAGTCGCAGCCAACATACACGCTGAATTTCAAAATGGAAGGTACGGTGGTTCGGGACACAACGGATGTCCGACGAAGGAGAGAGTAAATTTTTCGAGAATTTTTTCGGTAACCGTAGGTCTGCTCGTTTTCGAAGAATTTTTGCGCTAATGCACATCGATGCGATGTAAGTTAGAGTGAAAGAAAGTATATACTTATTTCACTCGAACTTATTGTGATAATTTACAAGTTCGTCGGGAAAACGAACTGTTTCTATACAACGAACAAGACTATTTCTCCTGTCGAATCATCGGCTTCGCTCTGAATTTCTGCGTCCACAGAGAAAGCGTTCAAATCGTTTCGAAACTTAGACTGGAACTCTTTTATCGATAAAAATGGCTCTAAAAGCGACGTAGAAGCCTTCTCATTGGCTATAAAAGCCACTTTTACCGATAAACGAGAGTTCAGAGAGTACATGCAGACCTGTTTCTTGCCGCTGAATTAGCGTATACTTCCAGATCTTAAAAAGAAACTGGTGTAGAAGAAACTTATCGATGAAGAAAAGAGCTCCAAAGTACAGTCAGCTATAAAGAACGAATTTCTCGTCTCCCGAACTCCGGCGCGATCATAACCTTTAAATTCACGCACGAGAATTCTTCTCTCTGCGAAACGACCTATCGATATTCAAATGTGGCGATTCGCCAGAAACTCGTCGATGTTAATGAACTTGTGACGAAGCATTTTCGCAGCAAAGAGACCTTCGGAGGGAAGATTATCCCTAAGAATCATGGAAACTCCAGTTCGACGAACATCGTCTACGGACAATCCCGATTAATGCCTCGTCACTATGTGAAGCAAAAATCGATGTTTGCGTACCTGCTTCTTCAGAGCCTCCGCCATGATTTGGTTGCCGTTCTTCATTTTGACGTTCCTCTGGAATGTGACTGACGCGACTGAGCCGATGATACGACGATACGCGCTCAGGTGCGTAATCAACGATCAGCTGACGGTTATATCACTGACGATGCTTCGTATGTTGCCCGCTCACCAACTATTGAAGATACGTTCGGGGAGTGCGTTATCAGTCTTAAAGCGCCGTTTTGTCCCTATCATTCATTAGATATACAAGACATATAAAATAACCCAACATTACCAACAGCATGCTCGAAGTAACCAGAACACGGCTTAAGTGAAATTATTAATACGTCGCGACCATTGAACATGCATACTTGTTGCGTCACACGCGATGACTGTTCATTTTTATCGCTGATAAAAGGAGTGAGAGAGTTGAATGACGCAGATATAAGTGCAACGAAGAACGAGTTGGTTATAAAAATTTACTTATTTACACCGTTCAGATGACACGAGAGAAGTATGTTAAAAAAAAAAGAAAAACAGCCAATTTTTGCCCTCGATTGCCAGCATGTAAAATTTGCATGGTTTTTTTATAATTTTTTAGCCGTAGAATCATGTGACATACGTTATAATGTAAGGAAAATGAGTAAAAACCCGAGAAATAGGATCTGATATTGGAGATCGCCTTAAGTTTAGCTTCAGGTGCTTCGATCTTAAGATAAACTTAAAGTAAAATATTTTCCAGACGTCTCTAAGATGTCTTTTGAACGTTTCTGCTGTGTATATCTTATGTTATTACGACTTCTGTTTCTGTGTATATCTTATGTTATTACGACTGATACTTAAGAAACATTTAAAAACACTTAAGAAACATTTGAAAAAACGTCTGAAGAGGTAGGCCATCTTCTACGCGTCTTTTAAGAGTTTCTGCTACCGAAGTAGCAAAGTAGCGTCGAACGGTGTATCAATAATGTTTCTTACGTAAACAATACGTCGCTAACATTCACGCCATCATGGTCGCTGAGTACCTGCGCATACAGCACGATCTTCCAAAAGATGTCTAAAGGCGTCGGAAAAGCGTTATAATTTTCTTAAACATCTTTCAGACGTCTTTTAGGACTGTATGCTGTTAGACTTGTGCGTGGGTTGCCTCGGGCCTTAAAGATCTCTCAAAAGCATTCACGTTCCTTTCGAATCCTTAGAAGTTACCGTTATCTGGACGTTTTTAAGCGCAATATTACTTCAGGAAATTTCAACGCCATCGCGGCTTGCGCGACTCCGTTAGCGGCTGTCGCAAGGATCGATTGGAAGATTACTCATTAATCCTCCGTTGGTCGCAATTTATGAATATTTTTCATCCATGAATGGTCGCAGTGTACCTTCACATGTGCATTGATTTTCTCATAATTTTCCTCCACTTCTTGAAATGATTTTTCTTTCATCAGCACTCAGCTATAACAGACCAGACACTGAAAAACAGTGAGGAACAGAAATTGGTAAGTATTAGGGCGGATAAAAAACTTGAGGTCGTATAGCAGCGGCGATTATATCTCAATAATAGCCTCAACTATTGATGTATATCTATTGGTTATTGTAAGTAACGGAGGAAAAACGACTTGCGCAAAAGTAACTAGACGCGCACGTGGAGCGCGCGAGTCGATTACACACTCACAATGGCACCTGCGTGTTTGCTGGCCGCGTCTCGTACGTGTGCCAAATTGTTAATTCGCGCACAATCAACCGATTCTCTTCGGGTTTTCCTTGAGAGACAATCGGTGACGATAGTACCGCCGACAAATTTTTACTCGAACGTCTTATGACATAACATCCCGATAACGAACGAAACAATTTTAAACATACGCAAATTCCAACATCGTAATTTCTCCAATTCGTACCTCCAAAATAATTAGACAAACCACGCTTTATTCGTATTTTCTCAATCGCTCTCGTATTTGCATAGTTGTTAAACGGAAGATAGAGCTTGGAGAGAAGTAATCGCGTCGCCGAACACGGAAAATTCCGTTAGTACCACTGAAGTTACTGTTGCTGCTCGGAAAGCATAGGGAAAACTTGATTACATATGGAAAAGAAGAGATTGCTTGAATTAGCGCAACAATGAACGAAGCGAGTCATTTTGGCCGAAGGAAACAGAACCTCTGGTTCTTACAAATCAAATCGGTTGAGAATTGAATTCAGTTATAACGTGTAAAAGAATCTTTCCTCGACACGTTCGGTTCGTTCATTTCCACGTTAGCTCAAACAAGCTCTTCCTTCTCCGTGTAAGAGCAGAAACGTTCCTGATTCGGGAGGTTTCTGATCGGACGGTCGCGTACGCAATGATCTCTCAGTTGACTTTCGATGCAGCCGGGCTTCGTTCAGACGAATCTTCTCGCTCGATATAATTCCTCCTCACCGAATTTTCATCCGGGCACCCCACTTGCGGCTGCACGAGGATCTTCCTTTCTCGCGAAGAAATTTCAATTTCCCTCGATTTTCCCGCTGTCGACGTGGAGATGAAGTCGACGAGATTAGCTGCGCGGTAGAACAGGTTCCCTCGGAGATTCCCGCTTCCGCCGTTTCGTCCCTTTGTGCTCGACGACGTTCGCTGAAAACATTCGTGGAATGAGTCTATTGTCGGGCAAATCCGCATAGACAATTTCTTGCCACTCTCGATTTCCAGGCGATTTTAAAGATTCACCACGGGTCTCCCCCGTTGCTCGTGCGCGCTTGGCAACTACGTACTTGGCCTAGATCGAAACACGTCGCTCCGCTGAGCACAATAGCGTGCACGCCGTACGTGAATCGCCGTGACGTCCCCGCGGATGGAAGCCCGCCGTTCGCAATTTACCTTCGCATTATCGCTCGATAATTCCGAATGTGTGCCAGCGACGCGCAGGATATCAGCTACTACCGATCAGCTCTGTCGTACGCTCAATCGCAGGTACCTGCCGCAACGACAATTTAGATTTAGTTTTTCCTTTGCAATTTCAGCATCTTGTCCGAGACGGCTTTCGCGACGCGGACAATTGCTGAGTTTGCTTTCGGATTCGGAGCGACGATTTCTTCGGATTCCTTTATAACGAGTTTTTAATAACAGAGAGAGTCGCGATAATCGGTTTTCGTTATCGTTTCACGCTACCAGCGAGTTATTAGTGTTCTCTCTCTCTCTCTCTCTCTCTCTCTCTCTCTCTCTGGCGTTCTCTCATTATATCCTCATTTCTCGCAGGCCTCGCAGGAGATTCGAAGCACCGTTACATCACCGCCGCTCTCGCGACATTTCACACTTTGCGTCGGATCGGAAACCCTGGCGTTTATTCGTGCGATAAACGTCCGAGTTTCAAGTTCAATGCGAGAAACGAATCTAATATACTGATATTCTTTCGTTTTTACCGCGCACGTAATCCGACACACGATATTACACATGAATCACGACTATCGTAAAATACGCCATCAAGGCTAATGTGAGACTCACGGCGAAACGTTGCATTTGATGAAATTTTTATTCTTTTATTGATTTCTGGTGAAGAAAAAAAAATGTACGATTGTAAAAATTCTCGTGAAAAACGTCTCAAAGAGGTCTGAAAAACATCTACAAAAAGTAGGACTGCTTTAGGACGTCTGCAAGATTCCTGTGTTCTCACTTACGATCATTTGGACTTACGACGTCAGACATGAGAAAATAAAAATTCTTGCGAGATCTTGCGGGGAAATGAAGACATGTTTATAAGAGGACCCTTGCAATCAGTCGAGCAGGATTAAAATAGTCCAATACTTTTCTTTCTTTCTATCGATAAATAAATAACCGTGAAAACGAACGTGACAAAACCAAGAAAACAAATTTCAGAGAGGTAGGTTAATTCGACGATAATTTATCGTTTGTTAGGGAACAACCGAAACATTCCCGTTTCGGGCAGCAGGATATTCTGAGAGATATCTCAGTGGCAAAACTTCCGACGATCTCCGATTTCTTATCGGAGCGGTTCGAGTGATAAATTTCTGAAACAACTGTATTTGCGAGAGTATTTGTATATTTATTTTGTTGTTCGACATCGGTTAAAAATAGAAAACAGGTTTCTATAAAGCTATTTTCAGGATATACCTTTTTGTACCAACATATTTCGTAAGAATGTTAAGTCCGCTCGTTTCTGATTCGTCATCGGTCAAGAACGAGGTATCAACAGATACAACATCAAAACTACGAAACGGACCAAAGCGACCGGTTTATAATTCCCCGTAAAGATTACACACAAATGTACGTAACAACCTGTTTTCTGTCTTTAACGTCGACGTCGAATAAGACTAATAAGACTAACAAATAAATAAACATTCTCGTCCCTGCATTATTTCTCAAAGGCTTGAACCGCTCCGGTAAGAAATATAAGTCGCGCGCATTAATCGTCGATTAGTTTTCCGAGGCATCTCGCGGAAGATCCCGCTGTTCGGGACGTGGGACGTCCGCCGGAATCGCTCGTTATCGCTCGTTATCGCTTTCCCAGATATCCGGAGATTTTCCATCCCTCGGCGAAACCATGGAGCTTCTTCTCTCCTACCTTCTCAAGCCGTCGCCGCCGCCGCCGCCGGCGTACGCTCGTCCTCTTCCAGCGAGATGCTTAAATAGACCGGCACGATGACCAATGTCACTAGTCAGTCATCCCCATTCGAGCCTAGACGAAGGAGAGCCAAACGGCGGCGGTCCCCACGCCGAGTGCGTGAGCACGAAACCCGACAACGAGAATGTCGCGAATCCACGACGTCGTGTCCACGCAGTGCGCGCGCCAGTACGTCGTCGTCTCAGAAATCTCAGCCTAGGAAAATCGTCGTAATATGTATCAACGGTTGCAGCAATTACTGTGCCCACGTGAGTCAAGTTCTCCCTTTTCTCTCACCTGCACTGCAAACCCGAACCGTGTGTTATTTTGTCACGTATAAGCTGTGAGGCTTTCTTCACGCGTTTCTTGTCGTCTGAAATCACGTCACTTGATGCATTTCGATATTCACTTAACGCGTTTGAACGCGTTAAACGACGTGTCAAAATAACAGAACTCGGGTTTGCAGCAGGGTGTCCTTTTCTTTTTCGGCCTGTTTTCGCCGCCGCGTTACCGAGTTCCGATTAGCTGCGCGTTTACTCGAGGTTGCACCTCGCGCAGTCGGTCGCTGTCGGTTGCTGACTGCCAATCGCTCGATTTTCGGTAATCCGCGGCTGTTCCACGGCGCGACACACCTCTCGGGGCGGCTTCGTTCCTCGTCATCCTTCGGCCTGGAAGAAAGGAACACACATGCTAACGCGTACACGCGCTGGAGAGCGCGTGGCGTTTTAACGCTTTTGCATCTCAACTCGGTGACCCGTTTTCACATATCGCGCGCTCGCGCTCGCTCGTGATCGCCTAGGTGAACGCGAATTTCCCCCATCGTCGTTTTTATTAAACGCCGCGCGCGCGCGCGCGCGCGCGCGTTCGCGCTCTTACTTTCGGCACTTTTCACGCAGCTTTCGACCGGCGCCCGCGTTACGCTTGCTCGCTCGCTCGTTGTTCTATGCGCGCCGAAATCGCGACCGCTACCGCGTCCTTGTCGTTCCTCGCGACATCGTCTCTCCTTCGCCGTTGATTCGTTGAGGAGAGTTGGACCTCGGCGAGGATTTGTAAACATCACGACGGTGGCCGGATCGGCGAGGATCGACCAGGATTCTCTAATCACGCGTAGGGCTCGGTTTTTCGGGACTCGAATTTACTCGAGATACATTCTGAATCCTGGCAAGTTCTCGGTCCCCTTCAGTGAGGAATATTAAAGAAAACAACAACGTTAAATCAAGACGGAGATTCCTTTTGTTTTCTCTATACAGGATACAAGTTTGATGCTATTCTTGAAAAGAGAATACATTGTTCTTTGGAGCACATTGAGTTATTGTTAGACTCGCGATGATTATGTTTGAAATATATTATTAAGAAAATATCCTTCGCCGAAGATAACTATTGAAGATAGATAGGAGATAGCCTTAGAAGATAGCAAAACGAGTGATCATTTCTCTCAGCGAATCATGTTTCTCTTCTTCTAATGCATTTGCAAGTCTCACGGCCATATGTGCACTATTGTCTGCGGAATAGAGACTGAATACATTTTTTTTTTCTCTGATAAAGTTAACTGCGCATGAAACGGTCGCATTGCGGGTTGTTGTTCACGGGCTTACACGGTAATCAGTTACAATAGCAGGACTCGAAATGACACGTGTACATTGTAAATATAGTGGCCGCTTTTATTTAAATTTATTTATACTTCTGGCGTGTGACAGTCGTGGCTCTCCTTTTATTTAGAGATATTTACATTCTTCATGAATCCTTCATGGCATTCGGATGTCTCGTATTGATCGTCACTTCGGCTCTTGTCATGATGAGTGACGATTAGTGTGATCACTTAATTAAGACCCACTCTTAACTTCATAAAAAAACAAAGAGGAGTCTTCAAATCGTTTCGCGAGCGATTGCACGTAACAAACGCGAAGGGACCGGCGAGGATTTTTCTCCGAGTTCGGCGAATTTGCCGCGAAGGATGTAATCGGAAATACGAGTCGTCAGTCGACGGTGGGAATTATCCGTGGGAAACCAGCGACGAGATTCGAGGGCGTTTTCTTTGCTCAGCGAAATTAACATAAATCGTTCAAACGTCAAATCGCGATTCGCGCAATCCCGGGCGTATTTTGCACGCACATGAGCGAGTGACGCGATGAACGTTTCGCGAAACAATTAGAATGAAACGTGCAAACGTGTGAACTCGAAGCTCCTCGATGCAATATTATTAATCGTCGTCCAGTCGGCATAGCAACGCTCCCCGTCGTTTCATGTCAGTCGACAAGATTCCTTCGCCTTCTACACGAATTTACCGCGTTACATCTCACCGAGGTTACTAAATGCATTCCATGTTACGCGAAACCGTCCGCTTGGTTCGTACGACGGTGACATGGAAACTTTTACGTAAGTGCGAATTGTGACAATATGAGATGTATCAAACATTATTAAAGCAAACCGGTTTGTCTTCGCAATTCTTTATCCTTATTCTCCTTCTCCTCCTCCTCCTCTCCGAGTAGGACATAAAATTATGATGACATCAAAGTGACGAGGCAATGACCGAATTCTTATGAAAACATGAGTTTTCCTCATCACTTAGACTTATGCCCAATTTCTTCACCTCCAGATAAGTTGTCGATAACTTTATTCATACCAGATATCTGCCAGAATCGGTTTTCTTCACCTTTGTAAAGTTATATCCGATAGATAAACTTATCCGGTACCTGAAGTAGCGGATATCTGGCAGATATTAATTCCAGTGCCCTGACATAACTGAAAAATTATAATAATATGTAATCTGCTGTTGCTGCTTTTATGAGAACAACACATGGATTTGTTACTCATGAATATTAATATTTTTGAATCTGATGATAATGATGATGATGATGAGGAATTTGTGACAAGGAGAGGATTATACAATAAGAAATAAACCGAACAATTTTCAAGCGTGAAATGCCACAGAATTTTTCGAACGATTTCATTTGAAAAAGAATATAGTGCTCGAATTATTACATGCAATTGAAGACCGATTGTTAATACTGTGGAAATTATTTTAATTAGTTAACACTAGCCCGGACAAGAATATGTCGCTAGCAGAATATGGTGATTTGTAGCAAATTTCTTAGTACATTTTGTGTCAAATGCTAGTAGTATGAAGAATGGCTATCCGTTAGATACGTAACCAGAGGTTTTGGTGAAGAAAACGAATTTTTAGTTATCTGACGGATATCCTTATCTGGAAGATAGCTATCGGGAGGTGTGAAGAAACCGGGCATTAGACGTCATCATGATTTTCTGTCCTGCCTGGGTCCGAATCTCTATGGATCCTCTTTCTTCTCGGAGGGAACAATTGTTTCCTGTGTACTACCATGCCGTTTGATCTATCTACTTGTACAAATCAATCGTCAATCTCTCTAGTAAGACAAATATAATAGAGACAAGAAGAAGGATAGAATAGAAATGAAAATAGAAGTAAAATAGAAATGGGACCTTCTGCTTTCAAGTAGAACGATTGTTCTAGCCATTTTCGCGTTCTACTCTTCTCTTCTAAATAGAATAGATCTCTTTTTTTCTTTCTTAAGATTAGTTTTTCAACAGGACGTACAGATATTCCACTTCAGAAATTGCCTTCCAGTCTCAATAGTTCGGATAACTTTCAATTGCCGCCAAGGTATTCAAGACGTACTATTCGCTATATATTTGCGTGCATTTATCATAACTAGTTTGTAAAACAGGTAAATGTTATTAAGCCAGCAATTCTCCTACAAGTCCCACCAGAAGATAAGAAACTATGATAAAATGTATAATGATACACCAAGAGATAATTACGGAGATAAGAGAAACGATGTTTCAACATTCGTTTACAACGTGCACGTTTGCCTTTACCCCAGAAATTGATGCTCACATGCGAGAATGAGTAAACGTTATTCTCTCTTGATACTCTGGTATTTTCAGAGAGAAATAGCCAATCGGTCGACATCTTTGACTTTCTGCAAGCTCCGATTAATCTAATCGGCGATTAACCAGCAGAATTGATGATTAACAAAATATAGTAACAAGCAAAATATTAGTAATTTAATAATACTCTATTAAAAATATTCGGTATAATCAATAAATCGATCAATCTGCGTGTGTTAATAGAACAGAATAGTTATACTACTTGATTGATGGAACTCTTTTAAATACTGCCTGTAAAGGAAAAGGACACGAATATTTCTTGCTCGTTTTAGCAAACAAACCGTCACTTTTGCTTTCCACATCAGCAACTCTACCAGGTTGCGAGTTAATCGTGTCGATCAGTTTGAATAGGGTTTGAAGAGAGTCACCGTCAAAAAAGTCACGAGTAGAACGATTAGAAGAACAACGGAGCGGCCGCGGCGGCCGTTCGATCTCACGAGACGTTCCTTCGAGTCGGGGCATGCTATTTGACCGTTCCTAAACGATACGGACACTCGTCTGTGCGCGTCATGTTTGCAAAACATCACGAGCGAAGGTCTCGTGAACATCGCGGGGCGAGAGCTTAGCGAACGCGCGAGACGCGAATCGACAGATCCCGTTCCGGCCTCGATTTAACTCACTCTCGACACACAGGATGGATCCCGATGCGTATTCTGATCTGCGTGATGACCTTCACCGCCTGCTGGACCAGCTACATGTGCCGGCTGCAGATGCCGATCTTGGCAGTGCCGATGATCCGCGAACGGCCGGTCAACCATACGAACGGTGTATGCGTATTCGATGAGCCGGCCGAGTCTACGCGACAGCGACGTTCCATCGTCCTCGACGCACTCGACCCGGCTGGCTACCTCGAGAGCTACATCCTGGAGCGGATCGAGCTCAAGCAAGCAGAGTCACATTGGCGGCAACGCCGTGCCGCAGAGGTGGTGACGCGGTCACCGGACGCACCCATCGAGCTGTTCAGCGGCCTGCCCTTCGACTGGTCCCCGGAGGTGCGAGGTCAGCTGATCGCCGCGTACAGCTACGGCAATGTGCCCGGCAACTTCATCGGCGGCTACCTGGCGCTGCGCTACGGGCCGCGGAAAGCGGTGCTCTGGACATCGCTGTTGGCTGCGGGGATATCGCTGCTGAGCCCGATCTTCGCGCAGATACACTGGGGTGCACTGTTGTCCTCGAGGATCATCATCGGTGTCACCGGCGGCGTCATCTTCCCCGCGGGCCACACCATGGTGGCCAAGTGGGCGCCACCGAACGAGAAGTCGCGCTTCGTCTGGTCTATGCTCGGCGGCACCTTCGGCACGATATTCACCTATCCGATGGTAGCCGCCATCGCGGAGACCGTAAACTGGGAGTCTGCTTGGTATATACCGTCCTTGCTGATGTTCGTGTGGATCATTGTCTGGGCGTTGATCGCTTACGACTCGCCCATGGAGCATCCGGGCATTACCCTTGAGGAGAGAGAATACATCTTGAGGTGAGATCTTGGGACGAGACGGCAGTGAAGAAAGTGGTTGGTAGTCATCGAGTGCTGATCTCAACTGACCCGTTCGTCTTGAGTTTTGAATATTTATGAGGAAGATGGAAATTGTACGCAAAACTATATTGTACTTTCTCTCTCTCTCTCTCTCTCTCTCTTTCTCCGAATTTTGTCCAGTGAAATTTCTGAGAGAAAACAGAGCGACGGCGAGAGATCGCGCGAATTTCTACAACTCTGCAGATGGATCTTTCTCCGCTGTGAATCGTCGAGTGAATATTTTCACTCTAAGGTGAAGAGTGAAATGCAATGTGTACGAAGAATTCGCTTTGCACGAAGAAAAAAGTAATTGAATTAATGTGGCAACGAGCGAGTCGAACGTATTTCGAACTCTGAAGGGGTTCCAACGGAATTTCCGAGTCCACTTATGAAGCAAATTCAGTTCTAAGAAATTTGGTTTCTTTTCATCAAAACGCTTTTAGTTTGCTCATCGTCACCTTAATTCGACCAAACTTTTTCGCCGTGTGCACTCGAGTGAAGCAAAAAGACGATCTCTTCTCCATAGCTTCGCAACGGGATCTCCAGTTTGTTTTCAGATATGGCTTTAGCGCGACCAGAAGTCAGTCTGACGTTCGGTTTTCTTACAGCTCGCAGGCGGGAACAGTCCGTCCTGAGAAGCCCACGTGGAAGCAGACACCGATAAAGAAAATATTAACATCAGTGCCGTTTATTAGCCTGGTTATATGCCATTTTGGGAATCTCTTCTTGCTGTTCTTCTATCAAAATTCCTTGATGTTGTACCTGACGAAAGCATTGGGATTCCAATTGACGAAAGGCGGTGCGGCGGCGGGTGCACCGTGGGCAGGCAGAATGTTATTCGGATTTTTCTTTAGCTGGATAGGCGACACCGTCAAGAGGAAAAACCTCATGCACGTCACGATCCTGCGAAAAGTCGCGACCATATTCTGTAAGAAACTTCAACTAAGAAAACTTCAAACTAAGAAATGACAATTCCGGCAAAAATTCGTGTTCCAATCTCTCCAAATTTCTTTGAGCGAAACAGAATCGAGCGAATTTGAATTTGCTCGTATATTAAATCATCGAGAGACTCTTTTCATTCCTGAACTTGAAGACCGAATTTCATGTACTTCGTTACCTCACTGGATCAAATCCTTTCTATTGTTCTTTAAATTGTCAAATTGTTTCGATTGGCACATTCTGGTATATAAACCAAGGATACGAATATGAATTAACTCTACAGTTTTGTTAAATTTATTCGAATCACACATATACGTATATATCTTTTTTACGAGGATATTTTGAGAAATTTTATATGTACCCTTAGTTTTGCACTCACTTTTGTGTCACATTTCTACTGTTACTTCCAGTGAACTCTCACACGTTTTGAGTGAGATTTCACTCCGAGGAATTTGAAGAGCACACGGTCGAATAGTCTCACGTTGCTCGCCAAAATTCAGATTTTGATTTCCGAAGATGGGAATCCCGACGTTCGGATATCTAAGATATCTAGTATAGAGAACTCATACTTACGTCACAATTCCAAACGTAACGTGCATACGATTATTCCTGTTTCTTTCGTCATTCTAGCGCATCTTTTACCTGGAATCTTCCTAATATTAGTTGGCTACGTTGGTTGTGACATAGTGCTCGCGAACGTCTGCTTGGTGTTGGCGTTGGGCTTCAACGGCGCCGCGATTATCTCCAATTTGTCGAATAATCAGGATCTGGCGCCGAACTTTGCCGGCTTTCTCTACGGTATCATGAACACGGTCGGTTGTATCTCCGGGATAATTATCCCGCCTATGGTCGAGGAGATAGCCGGGAAATACGGGGTAAGTGTAATCTTCAATTTCTCAACAAATGATTAATTTATCCTTACATGTACAATTGCTATACTGTATTTACTTAACATAATTGGAATAATTTTATAAAAAAAAAAAAAAAAGAAAACTAGACGAATCGAGCGAAGAGCATTCCCAGTCGTTTCGAAAATTCCACGATCTTGCAGATCGGTCTCTCTCGTGTTTCTTAATTCGGCTGGTTCTTCACGTCGGACGTTCATCCGCGCGCAATTTATGACATTCGCTTTAATAACCACTCGTTGCATAATCCCGCGGTTGCCTCCATGTAATCCGTCTTGTAATCACAGCTGTATTTTTCCTCCTTTTCTTTTTATGCAAATCTTGATCGCGCGACATCGCTCTTAATGCGAGTCACCTTCTCGTAGAGAGTTTCCAATCGAGAAGGAGGCAAGCGATGACGACGCAAGTGACATTATGCAAGAATTTCGATTGTCGCAAAGTATTTCCTTCCCCTCTCGGAAGGCTCCCCTTTTTGCACGCAAATTACACCTTCGTTGCACAAATCTTATCGCATGCATATTTTCTACGGCATTCCGAGATCTCAATCGTGGCGTCGTTACGCAAGTAAAATCATCATTACTCGCGCGCGGCGACGTACGCCGAGTGAGTGACGTGTATCCGAAATACTCATTATAATTTTCCTACGATGTCTCTCGGGAGAATCAACGGCTGTGTGTCATCGCGTCACTGTGTTTTACTCGCATTACCGTGCGGTGTCGTTTGTACTCATCCTTGGAAATTTCCAAGCGCATTTCGAAATGCCTACGTCGATAAATCCCGTTACCCGCGTATACGATTACGCTGCATCTCGATTTTAATGTTAATTCATTGTTTTTTCTTTTCCCTTTTTGTATTTGTAGAACCCGATCGATAGATGGCAGACGGTCTTTTGGATCGGTGCAGCAGTTTGCATCGCATCCATGGTCATTTTTCTGTTTGGCGGTAGCGGCCAGATTCAGAGCTGGAACGAGATTCAGCCTGAGCAATCGAACGACCAGGAACTAAATAGGACGAAGTAGCAGAAGAATTAAACAATTATAACAAGTTCACATCCCTGGCCACGAGACATTTAGCACAGAGACATTTTTCAAACTTTTGACTCTCCGGATGAAACGGAAGTATGAAAGAAATTACCAAAAAGATCGTGAAAAACCTATTTAGGACTAAACCTGAAGCAAGTTTTATAGAAATAAAAAGACAAAAGAAACTCAACTCGCGGTAATTGACACGTCCTCATCCTAAGAGTCATGAATTCGACGATTCTTTACATATAAGCATGCGGTCAGTGATGATCTCTGAGATTAGTCCTAAAGATCAGAATTTCACAAGGACTTTCCATAACACGAAAGGACAAGCGGATACGTTCGGAGTCACCGAACGCTTTCAGTGTGACAATCGGTGAGTAATGAGTTAATCGTCCGTGAGATACGCGCTACTTTGCGAAATCCGTCGCTGCCGTCGAAATTGTTCTCTAGTTGCGATAAAGGAGCATCTTTCGCGCGCATGGCATCCCAACGAGGGCAGCGTACTCCTTCACCTCGCGCTCCTCTTTGCGCGTAATTTGGTGCGCCAGTCGCGCCTTGTAAATCTTGTACGGCATCGCGACCTGATTGTACAAAACTAGTACCTGCAAAAGATAACCTCGTTTGAGCGCAATTTTTTATATAATTAACGAAGAGAAGTTTGACTTTCGATAATGTTGATATATATATGTGTGTGTGTGTGTGTGTGTGTGTGTGTGTGTGTGTGTGAAAATTATATCTGACACACTGATATGACGTATAGACTGTCATAAGTAATTTCCGATTTTTCCGCCGTCTTTTGCATGCACTGACAATCGTGATGAAGTTCGTATTAATTACCATTCCTGTTCTAATAATTTAAGCAATTTAATAATATCAGGTAAAGATAATTGCGAAGTAAATAGTGCTCACAGATACTCGTTTTATAATTCTATGTTCGAATCTTCAATTATATTGCAAGGTACCTCTCGAGTGTCGACTACACCATCCTCGTCGATAGCGTCTATATCGTCGTTCAGACGACTATACTTCTCGTTGTCCAACTTCGCCAAGCAGGGATCAATATCGAACCACATGTACGTCTCGGGACATAGCAGCTTCGACGGACGCATTCTCGCTTTGTATCGCATCTTCGGACACGTGTGAATGTAAAAGCCCATGTAGTAATATTTCAGAGCAGGCGCGACCTTGCTTAGTTGCCTGGTCAGGTAAACCTCCCGCAATGAACTGTGGGAATAACGCATATTCGGAGACGTTCGTGACTTCGATCAGCTTCGAGGAAATAACTTCTACAAACCTAAAAGTCCCCAAGGAGAGCTGACCATAAGCCGGATCGTAGAAGAAGTATACGCTCGAAACGCACGATGGCAAAATGTCTATCACTCCGACTGCTATCAATTCATTGTTCAGCCAATACTGTTCGTGGAAAGAACCGTATCCCTGTGGTGGCCCGCTGCTGTCGTCGGGTACCCATGGCTTTAAGATACAACGTTTACGTTTCACGAGCTATTTCATTTTGTCACGATCACCAAAGTATTAATATAGAATTATATTATCAATATTATAGAAATACTAGCAGCACTAGTAAAAATACTACGACCCAATTTAAAAAAATACACTAGTATAACATATTATAACTAAAAAATAAACGATTGTAAGGCTCTTCGTTTCAAGTAAAAAAAATAAATAAATAAATAAAAAATAAAAAGGGAGCGATAAGTGGCTTATCGGTTTCCATAAAAACTTAAAAGCCGATCGTTTCCATTGTTTCTTATCAGCGACAAAAAATTCTATGACAGACTCTGCGCTATCATGTATAATGTAAAATCATGTATAATACATTTAGTATATACAGCAATACACTTGTCTTGACAAGACACAAGCACTGAGCTTCGCTATGAGAGCGCGAGAGAAAAGCTAATTCGCGAAAGTGCTTGCTGACAGTGTTTTAAAGATTGAATACATGATGTACCTGTAAAGGACTCTTTACGAGAAAGTTGACGAATGACTTTCGGTCGCATTCCTCCGGTGAGTCGCCGTGTATCGCCATTTGATACTTTTTATAAACGCTCGCGCTCGCACCAAGAGTGCTAAGAAATTCGTCCGACATCACTCTCACCAATCTCATCTGATAAATTTATAAAGATGTATTCTTGTAACATGTAAACATGTGTGTATGTGTGTATGTGTGCTAAATTTTGAGTAACAAGGTATTATTCACTGCTACAATCGTCGGTCAATCGAAAATGAGTTAACACTTTCAAATGAAAGTCACATCTTCGTCGATCAATTGATCGAGAAAGAAGAGGGGTCCACTTTGCTCCAATTATGACATTACATAGCTGACTCTGCATAACCGGCTGTTACAAGACCGACGTCTTTGATATATACGCGATTGCGGAGGTTTCAATTAGAGCTCATCAAATCCATCGATACACGGCGGAGAACCGAGAGAAGACGAGTCGCAAAAGCGCACAGCTATCTATTACAGTTTTCTATGCAATGTTATGACGTGAGAAATTACAAATATCTACTGCTACAATCTAAGCTAAAATTTCGCTAAATTTCCCTTTTATTTCTTTTTTATCTCTGAATATTTGGAATATAACGATGCAAATGTAACGACGGGTAGTTCTGCGTTGAGATACCTGGAACCAGTGTCGGGCATTAATCGACTAAAATTTTGGTCGACTAAAATAATCCAAATTAACATTGCATAAATCATGATTGCATGATAATGATTCTTTCAATCGATTACCTTGATTTGGTTAATAATTAATTTCATCGATAGATTGAATTATTCGTAATTACTTATATGACAATTGGTTAATTTTGCCTATTGATTTTTCGACTTATGTTACTCGACCATGATTCTTTTACCAATTAATGCCCAACACTGCCTGAAATCACATGTGTGTAAATTTTCATGTTCGTAATGTGGATCCGAGATCGGAGTCATGAGAGTATCTTAAAGCAGGTTCTGTCCGTTACGAGAGATCGATTTTATAAACAATTACCTGCAGAGGCGACTTCACGAGAAATCTCGTATACTGTTGCTCTGTGACTTTCTCGGCTGGCGTCCCGTGTATCGTGGTTTGATACTTTTTATAAACTTCGAAAGACTTTTTCGAGGTCTTTAGGTATTCGGAACTCATCGGCGCTGTTCTAACCAGTCTCATCTTACAAAAATCATGAATTTAGCACAGATTCGATACGAATTTCGTAGTATAGTGTAACAAACACAAACATGAACGAATAAGAGTCGTATTTTAGTAGGAATTGCTCATCTACGGAAATTTAGCGCTACAATTGAACTTGATTTATTGTCCGCTGTAAATATGATAAAAATTGGAGAAAAGAGGACCATGTTGAGAGAACAATATCGACCGTGTTAACAATCAAGTGAAATACGAAATATCAATTGTTCATTATTACCTCCAGCTTTTTCAAGCCAGTGTACACTTTGTCGAACAATTCCTCCAAGCTCTTGGCGCAATTCTGTTGTTTTTTCTCTCTCATGATGCTCTCGATTTCACTTTGTGATTTACCCTGAGCTAATAACTTATTTTGCTTACGTTCTATCCGTAGGAGTTTCGCTTTTTTGCGAGGCACTGTATTGATATTTTCGTTACTAGAGTGCGAAGCACTTTTCTTTTCTGAATTTATTAGTTGTTTCTGATTGCTAGTTGAGACGGAGATAGGATTTTTCGAGATATCAATACTTTTGGTTTCTACTGGATCAACTGGCATTCTTTTACCGACTTCATCGTTGACAGATGAGACATTAATCTTAGATGTATTCTTTTGTGCTCTTGCGTGATGCTTTGCATAATTCAATGCTTCTTCATTGTTTATGTCTGTAATAATTAAAATCACAAAGTTATATAATATGAAATTGTCAGACAGTTTCAGCATTTAATATTATTAGTCAAATTTATGTTTTATTATACCTATGTTATCTTGTTGATCTTCACTCATATCTACATTATCATTTGCTATTTCGTTTCTTAAAAATTTCACCATGCGCTTTAGAACTTTCTTCTGAGATTTTGATATTCTAAAATCCAATGCTTCACATCTAAAAATTGTTATTAAATCTCATTTATATTGCTTTTATATTCTTCACAGGATGCTCAAATATAATTTTTTAGGGCATAATTTTTCTGAGATGTTATATTCTGAGATGTTTATCATTGCTGATAAAAATCATACAATGTAAATTAAAAAAGAACATCACTTACTTAATAGTATAAAGTGGACAACAGGTTTGCTCCAGTGTGGGCTTATAACAATAACTGCCACTTCGTCTCCATCCCCTATCTATCAAGCTTTGATAATCCTGTACTGTCAATGAATGCGCCCACATGCCTAATATCAAAATACAACATAAACCATTATTTCTTAAAGGTATATATTTATACTAGATTCCGATATAAATAAAAACAAGGTGCATAGACTTATAAACTAATATTATATAATATTGCTAGTTACTTTTAAGACAAACATGCAATTACACTAGATTATGTCAATTAAAAGAATCATTTGGACTTGTTGGATAACGTTACATAATATTATCTGTTACACTTAAAACAAATGTATTTACATCAGCCTTTAATGCAAGTAAGAGAAACATCCAGACTTGTAGACTAATATTAAGAATTCTTGACGTGACGTGACGTGAATAGTGTTTTATACTGGAACATTAAGATAAGTCTGTTGGCACTCACCGTGACTGAAATTCGTATTGGGGCTTTTACAGTAGCCGCACTTGTATCCCTCATGTTCCGCATAATATTCCACGATACTATAAGATTGTTTAGCCATTTCTGCTGTTCGGTGATAGCTATTTGTCGTTGGGAAATCACTAAAGTACAAGTGCTGTCACATGTTTCAAAGCAACCATTCGGAATCGCTCATTATAAATCTATAACTCTTGGCAACGAACGTGCGATAAGTTTCACGTTCAATATTAGCGGTTTATTATTTAAAAAATAAATAAATTACAACGAGCTTAAATCGCTGCCATTTGTAGCGCGACGTCTGTGATGTCCATGTCGGGAAACTGAGCGCACGCAAACGGCGCAGCACTTTGACCTAACCCAACTCCAGAGTAAATACCTTTAAATTACCATCTGATAAATCTTTATTGACTTTCATAATTCGGTTCTATCATATGGAATCGAGAGTGTAACAGTAGGATCAATGAGGTGAGTTCAACGAATGTTAAGCCAGCGGCACACGATGCTTGTTTTCGTGCTGGATTGTTTGCTAAATGAAAATACTGCGTTTTGATTGGTGCATTTTCATCCATCTTCGGAAATGTACCAATCAGAACGCAATATTTTCATCCAGCAAGCAATCCAGCACGAAACAAGCACCGTGTGCCGCTGGCTTAAAATATGAAATCGAGAACAATAATAGAGATTAGCTTAATTATTACATTTCTGAATCCACCAATTGAGCGATCGGTCGAATGTTGTGTCACCAAATCAGGCCAATCATCATGTTTGAATACTGACACCTGCTTTTTCCGCCGAACGAGCTGATTGGATACGTGCGAGTTCATAGGTTTGTTTTCTATTGCTAAACTGGCTGCACTAACTTGCACTTATTCTCTTTTCTCCCTTTCACTAATCCCTACATGCATATCCTATTTCTTTTTATGTTCCCTGAGTGTTCTCAGCTAATTCAGCGATAAAAAACAGACCTTTAGAATTTCTGCACTTTCAGTTTCTCTCCTCTCTATTTTGTACAAAAGTCCAACTAGATTCCTGTTTCGTTTCGTTTTAAAGGGCAGAAGGTGCAGAAGTGCGCGTCTCTTGTTGCAATCGATCAGCTGTTGCGTGCGCGTTCGCAACGTGTTCGCAACGCTGGAGATGGGTATCTTGTGCGATAGATTTGATGTTTGTTGTGCATCATAAATTCGTGCTTCCGACAAACGTCTTTGTATTCGAACCAATTCGAACGTACATCGACAATGTCGAACGACGGACGGAAAGTGGAGACGAACGCTTCTACGTCCGGCGAGAATGCGTCTCAGTCGAACTCTGAACGAAATCCGCCGCGAAACGAAAAAGTAAGTACGTCAAATCGATCAGTTCAGATCGAACTGTAACGATCGTTTACACAGAAATTGATCATTCGGCACTTATCCATAGAAAAACACTCGAGGCTCTCGGCAGAAAGCTGTGGACAACTTATCCAAGAAATTTCTGCGGAATTTTGATCCCGAGCACAGCGAAAGGGAAAAACGTAAGCTGTATCGTCGACTGTATCAAGGCCATAAAAAACATTTATACGACGAAAAGGGCATTTACTTGCTGACAGCAAATGATCTGTGCGATTGTTTGAATATAGACTGTAATGGATGTCACTACCCATGTCCTAAGTGCTACTCCACCAAGTGTGGTCATGAATGCAGGTATTTCCGTGAGAATTTTTATGTCAAATGAAAGACTGACTTGTATTCATAGATTACTATTGTTGCACTTATTGCTTGTTGTGGAGTTATTATTACATGGTTTGTTATTCTTGTCAGGAGTTATCGCAAATGGACATATGATGTTATCCTCTGTGAAGGTGCTGATTCTGTAATAAAAAATCCACTGGTGAAGGAATCTTAAGCAGTGAGCGAGATGTATAAATGTTGGATAACTTGATTGTGATTTGAAAGGGTTATATATAAGGTATTTTTAAGAAGTATTGAGCTTACAATCTCCTTTTCATAAAGCGTATCCTTATAAAGAAACAAATGTAAAAATATGATATTTCTGATACAACTGAGAGGAAGAATATCTTTATTTACACCTTTGGCCTTAGAGTAGCAGATGAGAAAATTTGTAAAAATATTCTTTTGTCAAGTCAGGGATCTTTTTTTATAGAAATGTAGTAGCTTAATATTTAATAACATACTTTATAAAAAGAACTTTAAATATTAATGCATATGTTTGATCAAAAGTCAAAAACTTCCTAAGTCAAGAGATGAAAACGAAAATAAACCATGTTTCACTCGATTGCAAAGGAAGTTGAATAAAACTTCGACTCAAGCTTATTTAGAACCCCAGTTTTAATAGTTAAGAAGTCGCAATAAAAAATAGTATCTAATGATTTTCTTCTCATGACGTCACCTCTAAGATGGCGGCGTAATTTCACACGAGATATTGTATCATTTTTTAATCGAGATATATTCCCAACGATAAGAGACGTGAAAACTGATAAATTTCGCTCTTTCATGACCGTCTACAACAAATTAATTCCGCCGAAGTTGCAAGATTTTCCACCTCCGATGCGCGAGCGAGGTGCACGATCGTCTAGCTACGCTACTGCGTGGTGACACGCGCGCACACCTTCACACGGAAGCGCTATTGATTTTCCGCGGTGCTTTCCACAGCGGTGTGCACGTTGCACGCGACGTACGTACACATACACACGCACACACAGCCCCAACGGCGCGCGCTTCGTTTGCATTTCGAGTGATCGTCCAAGTTCGCGCGAGCGAGCGGAGAGACAAAGCGGCAAAAAAAAAAAAAAAAAAGGTGTCGAGACGACGTACTCGGCGAAAGAGCACACGAGAGACTCCCGATTCAACGCAGTCGTGTTAATCGCGGGAAACCGGCCGCGGCTTTGCTGATCGACGGTGTGAAGCGGTAAAAGAAAAGACCAAGAGAAAAGGAGAGAAGAACCGAGGGTATCAGTGGTGCAAATTGAGGAATCGCGCACCGGTTACGCGACCTGTGCGCGTTATCATCGCTGCGAAGTTAGCCGCGAGCGAGCGTCAGCGACGACGACGACGACGGGCGGGCGGGCGGACGGGCCGGACTTCAGGGGGTTGTGACGGCGCGCAGCGCTCTCCGCCGCGTTCGGCACAAGCGTAAAGACGACGGGACGTCGCGTCGGTGCGTTGTCCGTGTGCAGCGCACTCGCCGGGGTGGCGAACGTACGCACTCACGGGACGAACGAACGTACATACGCACGCACGTAAGCAAGCGAGCAAGCACGTTCGAACGAACGAACGAACGAACGAACACGGGACGACCGGGCGGCCGCGAGCGCACGTAACGCGACCGAGTGTTATATATTTGCGAAGCGAGTGTGACACGACGACGACGACGACGACGGCCGCGAGGAGAAGCGATCGCCGCCGCCTTCTCCGTCGTCCAATTGCCCGTTGACCCCGTGCTCTGTGGAGAGCGCGATCCGGCGTGAACAGCGCTCGTCCAGGATCGAGAAGACAGAACGGAAGAGAGAAGAGGAGAGAGAGAGAGAGACCACCGGAGGAGCCAAGACCTCGACGTATCCGTCGCTCTCTGCAGGAGCAGCAGGTTTTATTCTTTTCTCACGAGAATATCCCGCATACTCACTATTGCATCTCTCCCCGTTGCCCGCCTTCCTGGGCCTTCCTCTACGCCCCGTCCCCGTTCTCATCCTCGTCCTCGTCCTCAGCGACGCAGCGTCCGTGACGTACTCGACGCGATGCGACGCGTCGCTTAGCGTAACGTCGTGTAGCATCGCGACGCCCGTCAAATGATACGATGCGAATGCCGCAATCGCCAAACAGAGAGAGAGAGAGAGAGAGAGAGAGAGAGAGAGAGAGAGAGAGAGAGAGAGAGAGAGAGAGAGAGAGAGATAAAGATAGAATGCGACGGACGACACGCTATGTCGATACTACGACGATAATGATCGGGTTTAGCGTTGTCGCCTCGCTGGTTCCGCTGGTCCCGTCGCGAGAAAGGAGCGTAGCGACCAAGAACAGGCAGACAGCGTCTTGCCGTGAATAACAGGGTACGTTTCGAGTGCGCGCGCGAGTTCGGTCGTTTCCATCCGCGTCGCCGGTCTCGAGCATCGTTTCGTCGTTTCCCAGGAGGGAAACGTGCATTCGGAATGGCCCGGGAATGGTTGTCAGTTGACAGAGCGGCAAGACGAGCCGCGTCGCGACGTCACAGCAACGTTCCCCGGTAGCGCTGCCAACGAGGGCAACGTGGTGCGCGCGGTCGTTCATTGACGACGACGTCATTCGCCGAGACACTCGTCGTGCTCGTCTATGTGTTACGTGCGATCTGCGACGGTGACGACAGGGAGTCCTAGGGGATGGAATTCGGTGAGGTCGATTGAGGTGGCCGATTCGCGGGGGTGAATGTACACGGCGCGGCGCGGCGCGATATGTACGCGGCCTGCCGCGTTATCGCCTGCCGCGGTGCATCCGCGAAAGCACCGAACGTTCGCGCTTGACGACCTGCCGCTTGACGATCGTTAAGCCCGTGTCACACTACGAACTGAAGATCAAGGGTTGCGGATTGAAGATTAGATTTCGACAAATCAACGAACTTCGGTTTGGACTTGCTTTATTCCGATTGGTCAGATTTCAATCTTCAATCCGCAATCCTTGATCTTCAATCCGTAGTATGACACGGGCTTTAAGCCCGTGTCACACTACGGATTGAAGATTGAAGTTTGACCGATCGGAATAAAGGAAATCCAGACCGAGGTTCGTTGATTTGTCGAATTTCTAATCTTCAATCCGCGATCCTTGATCTTCAATCCGTAGTGTGACACGGGCTTTAGTCGCGTGGCTCGAGGATACGACGCACACGTTCCCGTGCTGTATGCGCGCGCGCGCGCGCGTGTGACTCCGCTCTCGTATGATGAAACCTGCTGCAATCGGTGCCGAAAAGCACTCGCACGGTTCACTCCGTCGTCGAACACGGGTTAATTCGCGTCGAGAGCGAAATTTTCCGTAATTGTTCCTTGGAGACGAGGAGGGGACTCCGCCGGGAAATTTCGTCGGCTCGCTCGCGCGCGTCTCTCTCGCTCTCGAGATCGCACGACTCTTTCTTTATTTCGCAATGACACAATTCGAGATATCGTGTTTTTTTTTTCCTCATCTTTTTCGTTCAACGAGCAAATTGCCGAGAGAGAAGCGACGAGAGAGACCTTCGCGTTCCCGTTTCTTCGATCTTGTGTTTGTCCTGTCCAGTCGCGCCTTTTCACGCGCTCGACTCGAAGTAAATGTACATTCGGACATCGCGGATAGGGAGGGCGAAATTGTGGGAACGCGGAGAGGCTGGTGAATCGGACGGGAACGGGAACGGGTGCTTCTCGCGGACGATGGATGATGCGGCTGGTTCGCGCGATGCACATGGCTGCATCCGATGCATCAGCCGCACCGGTCGGTACAGAAACCGAGACTGACACTGTTCCTTTCACGTTCCTTTCACGTGTTACAAACGGTGAAAGAGAAATGGTCAAATGTCCCGTTTCGATGTACAAGATGTACCGATGGTTTTAAATATTACATTAGTTTCGTTCAAATTCGCGATAATTAGAGCAAACGTATCAATACTAAGACATGTACCTAGCGCTGAATATTTTTATTATTTTGAATCGTTTAAATTTGAATATTTAAGCTTTTAACGTGAAAAGATATATATAAAGAGATATATGTAGAATGTACTACACAATATATATATATATATATATATGTTCATTAAGATAGTCAATGTGTGTGTGTTTTATGTCAAAAGTTTGAATATTCGCATTTAAAGGCCAAAACAACAAAAATAGATACATATCAAAGATTGATCTTTGATTTTAAATCGATTATCCAGATATTCCTGATATTTCTACACAGATTACTCAGATATCAATGAATCAACGACCTTTCGCCTGTAACACTCGCGCCACATTTTCCGCGCGTGGCACGGAGTGTCGATGTGTCGAGGAAAAGCCTGCTCGTCTCTTTCGCCGTGTAACTGTCATATTCGTCAGGTGGCGAAGAAATGAACAAAGTTCTTGATCGGAGTAGCGTCTACTTAAAATTTCAGAGGGCGAAATCGAATAACCGCGTTGAAGAAGCGTCGGGAAAAGATGCAGACCTGGCAAGACCGCATACGAGGGGAGGAGGGGCACAACGCGACAGTATGCGGCTCGAGGGTGGGCGCGAGGGTGTCGTCATCGAGGAATACGTCACGAGATACGTGCGGAAGGGCGGACGGACGGATGTAACCTTTCGCGAGTTCAGATTATTAGTTGCGTGGGCGAAGCGGAGCGAGAGTGCGCGCGCGCTTATACAGGGTGTTGCAAAGCAGGGTAGTCTCCTCGCCGCGGATTCTTTGATCGACTTGAAATCCATTCCCCTCGTGCTGTTGGCAAGTTGAGCCCCGAGAGGAGAAATAGATAACGCGAAATTATAAATCGTGCGAATCATCCTCGAGCAGATCTCCATAGAATTGGAGAGATATGCAATCGCAGGTGGAACAAGAAATCACGATTATATGAAAATGACGTGATATCAAAGTGACGAGAAAGTGATCGAATCTTACGATCATCAAAGCATAAGTTTTTACAAGTGTCCAATGAAAGCCCCCCCTCCCCCCCCGCCCTCTGCCAATCATTGAAGAAGAAGGAAATTTTTTATATCATCTTCTCGTCATTGAGACATCATCGTCCTTCCTCTTCTCCGTTTAGGATATTAAAAAGCGAGAGAATGCGATAAATCGAACGGAAAATCATCCCCGAATTGATTAATCAGCTCGGTGGCAAAATATTGGGCGTCGACCGATTAAAATTTCAGTCGGCTAAAACAATCGGCGAATCGATCGTCAAAATTAACAAATCGTCATATATGTAATTATGAATAATACATTCGATCGATGAAATTTATTATTAATCCGTATATAATCGATCGAATCAACGTCGATCGGTTCAGTAGTAATCGCGATTTATATTCAATGTTAGTTTTCAGCATTTTAGACGGATTCACAAAGTGACCAATCGAAACAATCTCGTAGCATGCAATCACGATTTACCCGCCGTTCTCATTCACATTATTTTATCAGCCAAAATTGCTATCGATTAGTACCCAACATCGCTCGGAACGGAAGCTGCGATTGGGATATCACGGCTGCTTCCGAGACATCCTGTAGAGCTTGTATGAGTATCGTATGCAGTGGATTAGGCGACCATGAGGGGTTGCGAGGGGGTTGATTCGGCAAGTGGTCGCGTCTCTCCCTTTCTCTTTTTCTCTCCCTGCTTCTTTCCCTCTTTCTTTCTTTCTTTCTTTCTCTTATCATCCTCACTATGTGTTCTATCTCTTTCTCTCCCTCTCTTCGCACGCAAGGGACCCCGAGCGCCGGGGGTTTACGTCGCCGGGACGGCAGATGTCAGGATGCCGGAGCAGAGCAACGACTATCGCGTGGTCGTGTTCGGGGCGGGCGGCGTCGGCAAGAGTTCCCTCGTGCTGCGTTTCGTGAAAGGATCCTTCCGCGAGTCCTACATACCGACCATCGAGGACACTTACAGACAGGTAAGTTGACTGGCAGCGCGGCACGGCGCGGTTGCGGCCGCGACTGCAGCGGCAGCGGCGGCGACCGCCACCGCCGCCGCCGCCGCCGCGCCAACCACCCCCCGAGACGCCTCTTCGATCTATTTTTCTCGAACGGCGGTTATGCGCGAGGAGGACATCGCGCGCGTGTCCCTCGCGAATCTCCAACGGCGATTGACCCTGGAACGATCAGTCTCTCGAATTTCATCGCGCTGATGAATACACTCTTGGGTGCTTCGGCGTGGTGTGTTAACACCACGGCTCGCTTAATCCTTTATGGTAACTATAGTATATAATCCTACTGGTAACTATAGTAGAAACGCATTTAAGAATCTACAACTTAGTCAAAAGAGGAGATATTTTCGTTTCCTTTTGCACCACTGTAAAGGTGAATTCTTCTTCTAAAAAGATGGTGTACCAAAGATGGTATAGATTGTATGTAGATTCGGTTTAGTTCGCTTTTAGCTCAGTTTTGATGATGACATGTTCTGTCAAATTCCAAGTAGGCATAGTCAGCATTGTTACTGACATCTAAAAGTGCACTATAAATGAATAGATTGGACAGAAATTCAAAATGGCGAATCCAATATGGTGGACTCAAAAATCAAGAAATCAACCTATTTTCGTGAAACCTGGTTGACCTACAGTTTTTTATACGGCGAAAAATGAAGGGACGATTGACTATCTAAATGGTGATCTATAAGATATTCTTCTGAAATAGTAAGCTTGACGCTCTGAATGATAAACTTCACTCACAAATATAGTAAAGTTTCAGCTCAAAAATGTCAAGCTGACTATCGGAATTGTGTCATATAGATTACCCTTCATTTTTTTCTGTATAGGTTGCTCATTTCGTATATGCTTTTAGGATCCAAGTCATATTTACCAATAAACAAAAAACGAACGATAAAAAAACCAAAGTAACGAACCGACAAACGAAAAGCGGAAACTCCATGTACTTATTTATTCAGAAGTAAACGATTGATGCCGATTTTCCGTGTAATTGTTTCGCGGTTTTTCCATCTGGATAACCATCTCTGAGTGTATCCATGTTTATCATTTTTACCGTTATATTTACAAAAAAAAATACGAATTTATTCGTTCAGAAGTAGACTATTACTTTACATTTTACTTTACATTACTTTACATTGGAAAGGTAGTTTTTCGTAGATATAAAATTCTGATATTTTTTTCTGGTTATCACTACTTATAGTCTCAGTTCAAAAAAACTAAAATTTTATTCTTAAAAACACTTATAAAAAAATCGGGCATTAAAGGGTCAACACGAGGAATCTGTAGAGAAACAGAGTCGCCTGGTGCATTAGCAGAAGAATTCGATGAGAGAAAAGTTTTAGGGTTGCTGCAAGTTGTAATCGAGTGAAATTGGATAAAAATTGAGGATAATTGCGGAGCAGGAAAAATAACGAACACTGGATGAAAGGGAGTGGATGTTCAGGGTTACGCGAATTTTCTTGCGCAAATTGCAATCGGGTGAAATTGGAGAAAAATTGAGGGTAATTGTAGAGCGGGAGAGATAACGAACACCAAATGAAGGGGAAAGTGTGATGTTACGCGGCGAATTAGTCGCGCAAGTTGCAATCGAGTCTAGTTAAATCGAAATTCAGGCGAGTCAACAGTCGGACGTACAAATTTGGACCGCGACATCCTTTGTTCACGCAGAAGGAAATCTCGATCTAATTCGAGTAATTCTATCTCTGACGGAAGGTTAAGTAAATCACACGATTACTGCGACCAATAATAGTTTGGTTAGTTTTATGATCGCCTCGTTAATCTAAATTTCGAGCACGTTTTGCGCAAACGAGAGAGAGAGAGAGAGAGAGAGAGAGAGAGAGAGAGAGAGAGAGAGAGAGATTAAAGGAGCATGGAAATATTGTTGAGGGGATCAGAGCAGGCCGCCATAACACATACACCGTTGAAATTGAGTTCGCTTAAGTGGATTCAAGCTGCTGCGGCTGATCTTTCTTTCTATTCGCCGCCGAAGCCGAGAAAGGCGACAGAACAGGCGGTTTTATAATATGCGCGATTGACGTGTGGGTCTCATCCTCGACTGACGCTCGGTAGACTTGAGATAACGCTATTTATCTAGGGTTAATTGATTGATTAATTGGAGGGAGCAATTACACGTCGCGTGCTGCGGCGATAAATGCGCAGTTGAAGTTAACTAAGCTTTCGACCGGTTCCCCATTAGTTCGCAATTAGTCGTCAATTAGGGAATTATGCTTGAAACGCACCGATGGTGTGTGTGTGTGTGTGTGTGTGTATGCGCGCGTGTGACTTCCGCTACTAATGTTTACGCACTCGCGCGGGCCTCGCGAAACGATCGCGCGCGTTATTCTCAATCTCGCGATTATAATTAATTAGCCGGAGAGATAATTGTCCGCGCCGGGCCGTTGGCGATAAATTTCGTTAGCGTTAATTAAGGCTTTAATTCCGGCCCGCTTTCGGCACGGCCGGCGCTAATAAAACCAAACGGCGGAATTAGTTTTCGCGCACTTTCGCGCACGCGTGTGTTTTCCATGTGTTCGCACGCGAGTGTGTTACGCTCGCGTAAAGTTGCAACGAACGAACGAACGAATCGCGGGATTCGCACGAGCGAGGCGCGTGCTTTATCGGGGCAGACGTTTACGTAAATAGCAATTTCCGCGTGAATTGTAATTTAACGATTGATCGGACATGTCGCGCACGCACGCACGCACGCACGATATGTCTGACGTGGGTGAGAACATGACCATACGCGAATTTAATATCCCCATTCGTACTTCTGGCCGATAATACACGCACGGAAGTGAGACGTGTCGACGTGGGTGTTGCGGAAATTACGAGTATGCGTGTTAAATTCGCAAATAATTCATAGCCGTCGTCATGCGCACATACACACGCGCAGCAGAGAATACACGCGTACGACGCGGTAGTGGTAGTTATTTTAAAGCAGGATCAACAGCGACGACGCAACTAGGGTTGGAAAGTGACGCCGTTAGCATTATAAAAGCCGCTTTTTTTCAGTAATCACTTGGTAACGACGTGCTTTCCCTTTCGTTAGTAACGCAATTATCCTTTTTCTCCTTTTTTTATTTTTTGTTTAAAACGGTTAGTAAAACGGATATAAACGTGTAACTTTTATCGTTACCGTGCACATGTAGAGTACACGTACATGAAGTGAGCTGACGTTGGACATTAAGCGATCGAAAGATCTGGACCGACCGAGATACTCGGCGAATCGATAATCAAAATTGGCCGTATATGGGATAATTTTATTCGGGCGAGTAATTTAATCGATTGATGAAATCAGTTGTTAATCAGCGCTGCATAATCAATCAAATCGGTAATCGATTGGAGCGCGATCGTTATATGCAATTACGATTGACTCGATATTAGACTCGAGTCACATTTTAGTCAGAACCAGAATTTCAATGTCGATTAACGCGCAATACTGGAGGGAGAGAGAATCCCAGAGGAAGGTCTTTAAAACTCGGCGAGAGATCGACGAAGATTGTTACTTGCTGAGTAACGGCTCGCTCTCCTCAATGCGTAACGAGTAATGATAAAAAACGCGTTACTTTTATAAGTAACACACCCCCGACCGGAGCAAACGCGTTAACCCTTTGAGGCATAGTGGTAAGTATACTTATCACCTATTTATTCTCACATTTTCATGAAATATTTCATATCTGAGGGATTCCTGTCAGGTTTTTTGCGTTTTTTAGCTTCTTGTACATGGGTACATACATGGAAGGTTGAAAAGTGTTTTGCATAAGTTGTTCATTCATTATAAATAAACAAAGTGTGAAAAATACACATTTTTACAGAAAAAAATCATTTCCCACGAACTATGAGTGAACTTTTTGCTCAAAATCAAGATTTGGGGGTTTTTGGGTCGCTGATTACGAATCTGAGGTCCACATTCTAAAATTCATTTTCCAAGATGGCGGATCATAGAATGGACATCAAATTAGCTAAAATTGTAATCTGGTTAGTTTTTGAATTCGCTGATTCCGAATCTGAGGTCCAAATTAGAAAATTTATTTTCAAAGATGGCGGATCATAATATTTTTATATGATTAACTGAAATCGTACTTTGGTTAGTTTTCAAAGTCGCTGATTACGAATCCGAGGTCCTCATTGTCACCGAAATTATCGCGATTTTTCATTTTTGCGTCCGCCATCTTGGATCTGCCATCTTGAATTTCGAAAATCCGATAACGGATTCGTCATCAGCGACCCCAGAAACCGCTGCATATAAATTTTCATGTGATTCGGATTTTCTGAAAAATACGTGCCTCAAAGGGTTAAGGGTGCGCAATCATGTTGCACGACAATCTCACGTTTCGTATCGCGCTGTAGTGTAACGAATCAACCGCGTATCGTATATTACATAATAATAAAAGTACTGCGCGCGATGAGTCAACGGCGATCGCGTCGACTGTCGTCACATCCGATGATGACATGCGGCTCGAGCGCGCGTAACCGGTGATTTGATTTGTCCTCGAAGCAGCTCGACGATAACGCGCGCTTTGCAATAGTTATTTGTGTTTCTTGAATGACGGCAACGCGATCGTCGTGACAGCGGCTCAATCACACCGGTAACGTCGCTGATACGCCAATACGATCTTCCACTGCTACGTGACCATTTGCGCGTTTTATATACGCACATACGCACATATACACATACCTGCATATACGCACGCGTGTGTACACAAGGTGAGGCGCGGGACAGGTGAATATTTCCGAAAATATTGACGACAGAAAATTTTATCATACAAGCTTGAAATGTTTCAACACGATCGCGCTACCACTGTCACACACGTGTGTGTGTGTGTGACATCGATGATTCCTTTTGTACGTCCACGTGAAGAAATTCTGTTTTGCACAATTATATCAAGAGTGTAATTTGTAGGGGAGTTCCCCCCTCCAGATAAACTGTGACAGCGAATGTTTCAAGGGTTTCATTGTTTGGATATATTTTCTCTTCTGTATATAAATACATGAAGGATTGAAAAAAGAATTTCGATACGCACGGGGTCGCGTGTATCCAAAAGTGTACGGTTGCACTTAAAAGAAAATCGGACAATCTTGAGGTATTCTTTTAACGTATGTACTACACGTACATGCATCGAAGATTTTTCGTATCGTATACGGGGTGTCTCAGTTCTCCGAATTTCACCGAGAGAGGATTCCTGCGAGTGTGATACCGAGCTAATTTTTCCTCAGCAAAAACGTCGAGGCATCAACAGTAGCAGGAGAAAAAGGCGGAGCTTTCCTCGAACAAAACTTGGAGCGACCAGACACGCGGGCGATAAAATTATTTCTCTCGATTAATTTCAAGCGAACTTTTCCTTGACAGAATTTTACACATTGAGCGTTTGCTACAATAATGCGCTACGTCGAAAATTAAATAACGACATTCGCGATAAAGAAAGATCGACTCTAGATCGCTCAGAGAATCCGCCGAGGTAAAATTAAAGTCTCGAGGAATCCTAAACACCCTGTATGTATGTAAACACTAGAGATGTGCTCGAATCAAGAATTTTTATGTCGAATCTAATCGAATCGAATCTCATTTTTTAAATTCGAATTCGAATCGAATCGAATCGTGAAAAAACTTAACATGACTATTAAACATGCAAATAATGATGGAAGATTTTAATATGAAAGGGAATATTGATATTGCAATATCATCTTGAAGTAAAATATATATTTAAATATTTCAAGTAATTTTTTAATTAATTATATTTAAGTTATTGATTATAAGTTAAGTTAATTACGAGTTAAGTGTTCAGACATACACACCCAGGCCCAGATGGCCTGTTTTGTAGCTGATGCACGCAAACGATAATGTATTTGATTCCTATTCGAATTATTCGGATTCGAATTATAGGGATTCAGATTCGAATCGAATCGAGTTATAGGGATTCAGATTCGAATCGAATCGAATTACATTAGATTCGATTCGATTCGATTCGAGTTCGAATAGTTCGCACATCTCTAGTAAACACATACATACATACACGCATATTTACCTCCACGTACACGTATACGTAGCTTCGCGAATTTCAAGGCGCGTGCTCGTGTACGCATTTGAGATGCAATGACACTGCTGGTGGGACTCTCGCTGTGTGCGCGACGAGAAATGTGCCGACGCGCGAGTGTTATCAATGAAATCGCGCGTGCAGGAGATACGAAAGTTTTCCGGCACCGGCTGGAGAAAGCGGCGGCGGCGGCGGCGGTGGCGGCGGCGGCGGCGGTTCCGCTCGATTCGGCTCGGCCCTGAAGAGATCCGAATCCCGAGCCGAGCGGAATCTCGCGAGGCGAAGTGCTGCGGAGGTTCGATTAATTTACGATCGGCCCGCGCTGCGCGGGTCGCTCGTAAATAATCGCCACGGCAATTCGCGCAAGGAACGTGTGTGTGTGTGTATACGGCATTTCAGGTGATAAGTTGCGACAAAAACATATGCACACTTCAAATTACGGACACAACGGGGTCCCATCAGTTTCCCGCTATGCAGCGGCTCTCCATAAGCAAAGGTCACGCCTTCATCTTGGTGTACTCGGTGTGCTCCCGGCAAAGTCTCGAGGAGCTGCGACCGATCTGGGCCGTGATAAGGGAACTGAAGGGCCAGGATATCTCGCAGATACCCATAATGCTGGTAAGCACCCTCGTAAACAAGCAGCGCGACGGCAGCCCTTTTCCTCTCGATCCACTCGCGTGTTTCACTTCGCGACGATCCGTATAAACGAGAGTCTCCGTTTCGAAAGCTTATCGAGACCGCGTCAGTGATACAGTATAAGAAAGAACAGTGGGTTCACTCAGCACAAAATAGTGCGAACGGTCGTTTGTCGCACATGCGAACCGAACTGCACAACCAACAATATGGCGGCCAATAGCTGTCAAAGTGTATAAGTGTAAGCAACGATTAACTATATGACCGAATTTTTAATATAATATTGTTGTTTATTAAAATCTAGTAAAATGAATGAAAGAGGTGGGTACAAATGTTGTATAATAAAACTGCAAAAGTGCAAATTTAAATTTGCAAAGTGTTAAATTTTGATTTAATCAAAATGTGTCCCCTTTGAAACGATACAATATAACAAAAAGGCGGACCTCAATATCATTTAGTTTTCGAGATTTTTTACTTGTGTTACGTTTGAAATTTAGCACTCTGTATATATATATATATATATATATATATACACATCTTTCTATATTATAATTAGTAATATGTTATATATTATTAATTATATATTATTAACATATTATATTAATAATAGTTCATATTTTTATATTATTTTATAATGTATGTTATAGATTTGACAGTAAATATTGAAAAACAGCAATAAATGCTGTTTTTCAGCTACTATTCGTTATCATTCAAATTATAATCCGCGCGCAACCAGTAACACGGCGGTCTTGTAGCACCTGAGATCAAAAGCACCGCCACCGAGAGTGAACCTACTGTTCTTTTTCATATACTATTTCTGTGTCAGTCAGATACGGTGTTCATTATCGACGACCGTCGTCAACGTGTCAATTAAAAATTATTCAACGCCTAACTTTTTTCACGATCGAACAGATTTATGTTTTGAGTTTCGGGAGTTTACTCACACACCTTTGCGGCAAATCGAACAATTAAGTTCTTAAGACGAAACTCACTGGTTCAGTGCCGAGTGTGTACATTAATTTCATATTTTCTATAAATTCCTCGGAGTGGAATCTTGCTGGGAAGAAGTGAAGATGACCAGTACTTTCACTCTTAAATAAAAATACTGTCACTCGGAGTCTCGCACAAGAGAGAGAGAGAGAGAGAGAGAGAGAGAGAGAGAGAGAGAGAGAGAGGGTGTTTTGTTCAAGTTTAGAGCTGACTCTCTCACTAACCGTACGAGTGAAGCTCAATCGCTCCCAGTGAACATGTGACACTCTGTGACGGTAAATTACATGAGAATCACTCTTCAATCACAAACGCAAATCTTCACTCGACGATCAAGACTGGAGAATACACTCTGTATAAGCGGAGAATCCCTCAAACTCGAGGTGCACAGTCATTCTACTCCTCGAGTAAAATTCCACTCCTGAGCAACTCGCGGCGAGCACGTATCCGCCTCGTATCAAAGTGCTCGTGTGATTAGAGCCCTGATTTACGGCGTTCACGGCGACGTGAAGGGGGCACAGGCTCTGCGGTAGACCTTATCCGCGCGCAGAAGTACTCGAGACCGCTCGGCGAAGCCTGTCGCTCGCGACAAACGCGAGACGCGTTTCCGCGCTCGCGATTTCCGCAAATCCACCACCGTCGCCTGCGACCGAGCGGTCGCAGTGGCGCGCGCGACTGCTCCTTCTCTCTCAGCGGCATTGTTCGTTGACTCTCACGCTCAGGTCGGGAACAAATGCGACGAGAGCCCGTCCGTGCGCGAGGTGTCGATGAGCGAAGGCGCGGCCGAGGCGGCTAACTGGGGCTGCGGCTTCCTGGAGACCTCGGCCAAGACGAACCACAACGTGGACACCTTGTTCCGGGACCTGCTCACCCTCGAGAAGAACCGTTCGGTGTCGTTACAGCCGGTGCAGAGCAACAACGCGATAAGACTCAAGGAGAAGTGCGTCGTCATGTAATCCGTACACGCACCGGCTCGCCGAGCCGCGCCATGTGCGCGCGTATCGCGGAGAAAGGGGCGGAGAATCGGCGGCGGCGGCGGCTTACTTCCGGCCTCTGAGCCTCTGACGCGGCTCCTCGTACTCGTCCTCGTGAGAGGATGCCGCGCGGGTTCTCGGCGATCGGCGAGACGAGCCCGTGAGGTTTCACCGGCGACGGGCTCGCTGTTCGAGTCCCGAAGGAGCTTCCGTTTGACCGTTCGGAAACGGCCCTTCTTCTTCGGCCCTTCGCATAGGGCTCCGTGGTACGCTCCGAGGCTCAGCACGAATTGCGTCCACGCGCGGCCCGCGCCAAGAGCGACGGCGGCGGCGGCGGCGGCAGCGGCGGCGGCAGCGGCAGCAGCCTAACGGAGAGCGACTTCTTCCCCCGGCCGTCCCGACGAACGGGACGGCAACTGGTGATCCGGACGTGCGCGTCGCTCGTCGACGGCGCGACACCCCGAGCGACCCTTGTCTTCAGTTTCACCTTAAACGCAAGTAGAACCGCTCTCTCGACGCGTTCGATTTCTCTCTGTGCGCTGAGACCAAGTAGAAAACACCACGCTCTCGTGAGTTCCCGCTCTTGTTTCTTGACTCCGCCGTGCGTGGAACCGTCCGCGGTAATCTCGAGGCGGCGAGGCGACGAGCGAAAGTCGGCGAGATGGCGAACGCTACGACCACCACTGCGTCTCACCACTACCATCATCATCATCATCATCATCATCGTCATCGTCGTCATCATCATCATCATCATCATCATCATCATCATCATCATCATCATCATCATCATCATCGCCACCACCACCACCACCACCACCACCATCTCCGTCGTCATCCACCAGCAGCGAGGGCGGTCGCGTGTTCCTCGGCTGTTGGCGCAGCAAGCATGGTGTTAATGTAACGAACTCGAGGTGGAGAACACACGCATCGTCGACCCTCGTCAGTCGCACGTCGTCCACACACTGGAGTCTCGGTATGTTTCATAGAGAAATAAATAAGGATTTACTTCTCGCGCGCGGGGAGCACTCGCTCTCGCGCGCCGCATCAGTTACATATCTTTTCTAAGGTATCTTATCGTATGTGTGAACGCGTCATATTTTTTATCTTGAATATTTCTTACAAATAAACGATATATAACAGCCGCATATACCGCATGACATCGATTTATTATTATCTCGGTAATACGCTAGCAGTAATAATGGTAATAATACGAAGTGAGTCGCGATCGACGATTGGTTCGTCTCTGTTGATGCTTTCCCGAGGGGGAGAGAGAGAGAGAGAGAGAGAGAGAGAGAGAGAGAATGTGTGTATGTGAGAGCGAGAGAGAGAGAGAGAGAGAGAGGCGTATTCGTCACGACAAAGAGTTACCCGCGATTGTTCTATAACCGCTTCTCGTTATAATTAATCCCTAGCTGTTCGATTAATACGCGGTGCCGCAGCGATCAATTAGTGACGCCGACAATTTCCCGTTTGTACGCAGCGCCGAAAAGACCCCGACGATCAGCGGCGAGACGGCGGCGTCGGCGTTGGCAGCCACGCGCAAGCAAAGTCTCGAGTTTAAAGCGACAGTATGTGGCGGGACGTGAATAGTCCTCCAGCGCGAATTGTCGAACTCTTCTCGGTGTCGCGTTTTCACTAGAGTGTCGTCAACGTTGAGATCGTTCTCTCTTGCGCGCGCGCGCGCGAGATAAACAACGGGGATCGTTCCATGAGAGAGGTGGTCCCGCGCGAGGCACGCGAAGCAGTTCGTTCCTTTCGTCACTCGAATTCAGCCCGGCGATTTCGCGCGACCGTAGCGCGATTTTCACCGGCGAGGAAAAGGCGCGCGCGCGCGCGCGTGCACACGCTGCAAGCGCGCTGCGTCTGCCGTTTCCCCGGGAAGATTGGCCTGTCGAATTCGCCGTGCGTGAAGAAGTGCGGAATCGACGGGTCGCCTCGGGGAGGGGATCTCTCGGGGGAGAAAATTCCGCGTTCCGCGGAAACGCACCGCGAAAATTCGATGACGCGCGCGGAAGCGCGGGGAGCGTTCGGAAAACGCTCCGATCCCACGCGAAACGCGTGAGGAAGGCGGAAAACATCGAACGCACGCGCGAACTGCATCGCGTTGAGAGAGAGAGAGAGAGAGAGAGAGAGAGAGAGAGTGAGAGAGGGGGAGCGGCTGCAGCGTCGCGTCGCGTCGTGCGTACGTTCGATGAGATACGCGTGAAATTCGAGAGCGAAGAAGGAACCGACGCGAAGAAGCTCAGAGAAGACCGCTCGCTCGTGCGTGTGCGTTTTTTTCCCGCCGCAATTCAGCGTTGCGCGTGATCGATAATAGCCGTGACAGACGAGGCGACCGAACGACGCGACGGTGTTGAACGACTCGATGCTCCTCCGCTGAAAACTCCGCGCTCCGCAATCCGAGAGTACTGCGCGACATTTAGGGACCGGTGTTACAGCGCGCACATGAAAGATTTTTTCGCGTGAATGACAGGAGAGTGCGAGATCGAATGAAAGAGAGAGAGAGAGAAAGGGGGGGGGAGGAGGTAGGAGGAAAGAAAAAGAGGGAGAAAGAGCGTGCGTGCGAAAGACGAACAAGTAGATAAGAGTTGTTACGAGATTGGTTTTTGTTGAATAGTTGTAAGATTTTGTAATGATGCTAATTAGGATTATAAACGAGCAGCAAGACACGGTATTGTGACACACGACACACACACGGACAGATACACAGATGCGCAATATATAGGCCCGCACACGCGAAAACATGGACGTACATACATTCTATCGCGTGTGGAGATTCGCGACAACGCAGACGCAGATTCGTCAGCGAGCGATTGCAGATGTAACCGACTCGCGAGCCGAGTGTGCGCTCGTTTTCCATATCGATGCGATTTCTAGCGGTTTCCCTTCTCCTTTTTTCCCCGTCGTGCAACGTTAGACCATCCGGGACGCGCTTTTAGACGCGAATCCCAGTCGGGCAAGTCCCCGACGATATAGATAGTTAGCGGTAACTACACACCCGCACACGCATATACGTACACACAGAGACACACAAGCCCCCGCTCGATCCCTCTGTCCCGGGTCCCTCGTTCCCTTTGCACCAAACCTCCTCGTAGTTTCCACGTGACTCGCGCGTGTTTCGCGGCTTTCCTTATCGTATTTGCGGATACATCAGGGAGAGACCGGATTGTCCTTTCCCGGTCCCGTCGACGCCGTCGTCGCGTGGCCGCTCGGACGTCGATGTGATCGATCGATCGATGTAACACGTCGCAATCGAGGCTAACGATGGTGCTGATGACGAGCCGGCCGCGCTCGAGCGCTACTATCAGCTCTGAAGGGCCGTATTTATAGTCGTCGATACTCGAGTAGAGTCTCGAGGGTGTGTATCGAGTGGTGCACGCTCACCACAACGGACCTACGTCGAGCTCAAAGGAGGAAGTGCGAGGGAGGGAGAGGGAGTAATAATGTTCGCATTAGCGCATGTTTGAAATGATATCGAGTCAACAGGCGACTTTGAGAAAAGTCGCACATCGGATGTCGTCCGAATGCGCACTCGGAGATGTCGTCGTTAACCCATTAATGCCGGCTGGGACAGAGATTTCCCGTTGACTTCAATGTTATGAATTTTTATGAAAATTTTAATCCAAAGTACATTACTGGGGGTTTCCGAGCTCGCTCTCTCCGAATCCGCTGCGAGATTCAGAAAAAAAAATGAGTGTATTGATCTGTAACGGTTTTTTTCCAAAAATGCGATTTCTTCTCGTCAATTTTTTTTTAAATCATGGATTTCATCTTGATAAAAATGTTGAATATTACTGAAAAGTACCCCCATCAGTCCTCGAGACTTGTAATTTCAAAAATACAAACCTGGACGTAAAATTTTCTTCACTTTTCAAATCTGTAATAAAAAATATAAGTTTTGCACCAAAAAATCAACGTTGGGCCCCGTTAGGCCCAAAAAATACATCAGACCCAAATTTGGGGCCTACCACGTGAAAGAACTCGATCAACAGGGCAACTTTTATTTTGGATAATTTTTCATAAAAATGCACTCATAACGAGTTATTTGACCGAGTTCCCAAGGATCCGGCGATATCTATGGTTGATACATGTATATGGTCGCCATATTGAAATTACTAAATTGCAAAAAAATTCAGAACCACATATATTTTGAGTACAAGTCTCGAGGGCACGATTGGAGTACTTTTCAGTAATATTCGACATTTTTATCAAGATGAAATCCATGATTTAAAAAAAATTGACGAGAAAAAGTCGCATTTTTTGAAAAAAAGACCGCTACAAATCAATACAAACACTCATTTTTTATGATTCTCGCAGCGGATTCGGAAAGAGCGACCTCGATAACCTCTAGTAAATGTACTTTGGATCAAAATTTTCGAGCATTTCCATAAAAATTCATAACATTGAAATCAACGCGAAATTTCTGTCCCAGCCGGCATTAGTGGGTTAACGTCTGTTCTCGTTTATTCGTCAGTCACCTGCTCCTCCCCTCGAAGAGATACACGTCGAGCATTATGAAACGCTGGCGCGTATGGTTATTACTTTCGGTTCGATATTATTTGTATCCATCTCTTTCCCTCGCCCACGAGAAAAGGGAGAGACTCCGAGGACGTTATCAAACAATGGATACGAAGCGACGGAGAAATTGACGGAAGTAAATGCAGAAAATATTTTCTCCCGCCGTTTTTCGCGCACGCTCGTCTCGACTCGAGGCTCACTTCGCGATCATGTCGCGTCCGTTAATAATTCGCGTTATTTGCCGGCCGTGTAGAATTGCACTCGACTATTCCCGCTATAAATACGGCCGCTACGAGCGTCGCGCCCGCGAAAACCGCGGCGTTAACGACGGCCAGCGAGGTGACTGTCGAGCCAGACAGCGTCCAAACTCGAGCTCGGGAGAGACCATCCTTTGAATGAGTCGACAATACATCGCCACGATGAGCGGGGCCAGAGCGTCAGCTGCTGGCAACGTCAATGCCATCAATTATAGCGATCAGCGATGCATCGTGGCGAGTCGTGGCCAGGGATAGTCATTGAGGGAAGAGAGGGAGAGAGGGGGGAGGGGGAAGAAGGAATCGATATTTCCGCGTTGGTGTGCGCGAACAGCGACAGCGGTATCGACGAATATTTCGACGAGTATCGACACTGCGTGCAGCGCCGACGGTTAATATTATGGGCGATTGTGAAAGTTAATTGGAAAATAAAATTAAAAATAGAAAAAGCATCTGCGCTCGCTACTCTCTCGATCGACGAGGACATGATGCGACACAATTACGAACGAGGAAGGTCTCGAATTAATCGAGCGACTTTTTCCAAAAAAAAGAAGGAGAGACACGAGTGTGACCTACATTTTTTAATCTGCGATTTCCCGAAAGCGCGAAACATTGTCGTCCGCCGTTATCACACCAGAATATCGATACTTGTAATAAAATATTGACACAGCCGGGAAGGAAAGATTACATGCAATTGTGCAACATTATATATTATATGATTATTTTGTCTCTATATAGCTTCACGTGCATAATGATACATGTCCACATGTAGAAAAAATGCTGTTGAACGGAAAGAGAAAGAAAATGATTTCCTATTGCTGTCGAACGTCGTCACAAACGTAGGGATTTGCTTCACTTGTATTTCTCCAACAACAGTATCGTTTTCTCAACATGGACGTATTTAAGCGCGTACGGCTCCACACGACTATAAAGAGGCAAAATTCATATATCTTCACTTGTTTTCCGGCCAACCGAATATCATGACCGAATATCAT